ACCGTAAAGATCATGTATCGCAAGAGCGGTGACAAGGATGTGCCTTACGCTGTGAAGGAGTTCAGAAAACGCGGTCAGAAGGAGGATGAACAGGAGTATGAACAAAAGGTCAAGTCGGAGTTTAGCATCGCAAACAGCCTAGACCACCCGAACATTGTGAAGACATTCCGCCTTTGCACCCACAATGGCCGATGGAATCATGTGATGGAATATTGTTCCTACGGAGAACTATTTTCATTGGTGCAAAAGGACTACCTTACTCCTCGGGATAATGCTTGCTTTTTCAAGCAAATAATGCGGGGTGTCGGATACCTGCACGAAAATGGCATTGCCCATCGTGATATTAAACTGGAAAATCTGTTATTGTCTGATGATGGCTACATCAAGATCACTGATTTTGGTGTGTCTGAAGTGTTCAGTGGGATACATCCAGGCTTGCGCTCTGCAGGTGGCATCTGTGGCAAAAACATGGGCGAAGTCCGCCTGTGTGCTCCCGGAATTTGCGGTAGCTTGCCATATATCGCTCCTGAGGTTTTGGCCAAGAAAGGTAATTTATTATTCCAATCTTTTTTGTTTTTCGTTCAATCGCTTACAATGCTGTAGGTGATTATGATCCTCGACCTCTGGATATCTGGTCCTGTGCGATCGTCTACCTTACACTTAATTACCGAGGGAACCCGTGGCCCGCAGCTGACAACAAATACACTAACTACGCGAGATTTTTCGAAGGATGGCAAACCTTTCTTCAGGCTGATCCTGAGGGACTGGTAACGGATGACAAGGCGCCTAACTGCGGGCCTATTTTTAGACGTTTGAACCATTCCGGCATGAAACGCCTCTTACTTCGAATGTTGCACCCAGATCCGACCAAGAGAATTACGGTCGCCGAAGTCATGAGCGATCGGTACTTTAAGACTATCGAATGCTGCTCACCAGATCGTGTCAAAGATCCTTCAAAAGTGGTCACCGGCATTGACGCAGCCGGCAAGGGAAGCTGTAAGCTCGCTAACAAGATGGTGGTACAAAAGATTCATCACCATTTTCCACCGGAGAAAAAGTATCTCCCGCAGCATCGGTTTGATATGGGAGAGGGATATTAATGACGAGATAAACCGGGGTCATCGAATGGTTTCAAACTAAGGACCGACATGTCGAGACTTTAAGCGACTAAAGTCGTCGAATTTGATGACCTCCGTCTCTACGACTTTCTGATTTGGAGCCTGGATTAACTTTAAATTCTTGTTGATATTTACCCGCTGGATGGGCTGAGTGGGTTTGACATTCATCCCCTATTGCTATCTGTTTCTTCGTGATGATGTCCTTGGGTCGGTGCTTTGCTATGCATCTGATACGGCTTCTTGTTTCAGCACAATGGTTTTATTCTTTCAATGCGTGTCTATCCCTTTTGTTGGCGGTGCATTTATCCATCTTGGCCCAGACTCACCAAGGTCCACACTTGTTGCTCTACCTACTCCTTGTCCGGAGAGCAATCATCTTTCCTCAGCCCTTGTCATACAAAAAGTTCCCTTTGTTATTTCAGAGCGTACCTGACATACATTCTTCCGAAAATTCTTTGTCAGAGGTGGTTGTTTGCTTGGCATGATAAGGCATAATGTTTTCCACCTCTGTCCTGTGTGAGTTTTAGCTTTGCAGCATGTTTATTACTGGTTTACGGATACTTTGGTTGCTGGAATGGTAAACTTGTTATGATTGCATTCTTTAATCAATTTTTTTATTTTGATGCAGCATTATATTGTACTTGGTTTTCTTGTTTTTGACAGGGGTGGGGAAAATATAATTATAATATATTCGAGCCGATTAGACATGTCTTCCTACCCAGTCCATGCTGCTTACTTGCAAATCACTTCACTTTTTTATGCCTTCCCCGCCCAGCTGTCTCCTTTTTTTTTTGACTTATCTTGGTGTCTACAAAGCAGCTAATACATCTCTGCGGTACGCAGACGAAATGGGAGAAGATATTCTTGGATTCTTGTCAGCATTGGCGAGCTGCGTCATGCTGAGCTGTATAACAGTGGTTCCCCAAGCATATAGCTCGACGCCAGCTTCGCGCGCGCCAAGGCAAAAAATGTCTTTGTCTGCAGCAATGAGTGAGTTACCCTGTCTCGCCGCCTTCTTGACGATCTTGGGAGCGAAATGCCGGTTCTGATCTGCCGCCCGGTGACCTGCGCCTTGTCATCCCATTTTTCTTCTTCTTTTTCTTTTTTCCCCCTCTCCACCATCATGCAGCCTATCTGAAATTTGTCAATGAACTGGCCTTCTGGTTCGTCGTACTTTTTTTCGCGGGATGAACACAGTTTACACAACGCGGAGAGAGCATTCCCTGATGAGAAAATTGCTACTGTGTACTTTGCAAATCGCCACCGCGCTTGTGTGTGTAGGCGTGTGGGTGGGCTGTGTGACTTCGGCAGAGGTGCATGTTGAAAACACTATTACAGGTTGATGATTGAAGTTTCAGCGATGAATGGGGTGGTTGTTAAGTCGGAAAAGGTAAGGATAGCTGCCTTTTCTTCCTCCCCTTTTCCCTTGTGATCCTCATCCCAAGGATGGAAATGTGAGGAGGCTTGTCCTGAACGAGCGATTTCCCTTTTTCCGCACGCCTGACAGGGCCGGCCTGGCGGAATGCATGTGCTCCTTGGATTATGGGTTTAACCGTGAGCTCGAGATGAACCGAGAAGGCATGTGGGACCACCCGCTCAGGTTTCATCGCCGTCGACTTCATCCGTCAACATGAAAATGAAACAGACTAAGGTGATAAGCCTCGATTTTTGCAACAACGATTCGTCACCATATGAGCCGCTGTATAATCAAAGATTTTCGTAAAGAGTGAGAGCCGCCAAGTCTCCAAAAAAAGAACACAAAGACAAAATCCCGGCAGTAGCCCCCGTTCGCGAGAAAGTGCGCCAATGTATCGCCGTGCCCCGGCGAAGTCCAATAGATATCTACACACGGGCCACGCTCCCATGCAAGTGACCGTTGCGTTTTGTGTGGGGGACGGAGCCCTTGTGCCCTCTACGAAGCTCGTCAGCTAACAAGACGAAATCTGGGTAGTTGCACCTGAAGGCTGTGTGGACACGTGCGGCACAAAAAACAGGGCAGAAACGCGACTGTGTTGCACCTTTCAAGTAGAGATACACAGCCCACACAAGGCTTCCAAAGGATGTCCGTCAAGAAGATATCAGCATATGATGTACGTATAATTCGCTGTACTGGCCTGGTTGCGACATGGGACAATACCTCTCTGGCCGAGATGCTCATGTGCCGTCAAGTGAAATGAGAATGATCAAACGAAACATTGGACGCTAGGCAAATTAGTTCATAATCTATGCCTCGAAAAATGCCGAGCAATTGGCAAAAACTCTCTAGCATGGTGTCTTCGAGGCGGTAACGCTGCATCCTCGCAGTGGCTGAGTCGAAAGGAGAGGCGAGCGCTCACAATTCTCCAAAAGACCTCACTGATCGCCAAACATGCGGTTAAGATAAAAATATGTACACCTTGCAGAAGACGGGTGGCTTCAAAACACAAGAAGAAATGATGTCGTGGAGGCTCGCTTTGTCAAAGCCCTGGCTGACAACTCTGCCCTTGGCGATGGAACTAATAGCAGATCACCGCAGAGCTTAAATGGCAGACAGCGCCAAGACAGTGATCCCTTGGGCGCCTGCATCGTCTGCCGCCCACAGTCCAGAATGAAAAAGCAACAACCAGCCGTCAACAGGGTCGCCAAGCAGCACTGAGGCTATAACGTAGAGACCAAAGGTCCAGACGAGGGCGTTGCACAGGCGGTTCTTTGACTGAGAAAAGGCCAAGATCAGCAAGGTGGCCCTCTGACGGTGCCGATTGGCTCCGTGCGATTCGTCACCACGTCGAGAGGGCGCCAAGAGAGGAGATTTGCGCCAAGATTTTCTCGAAGGACGTACGATGGGCTGTGTGCCAAGGCAGGGTGGAAAAGAAAGGAGTCGCCGGAAACGAGAAACGGAGGGAGCGGGTGGGTGACACGGCCAAGCGGCTGAGAGTACCGCCCTCGTCACCTCCGTATTGTTTCCCACAGACGTATCGTCACGTCTGAACATCGGACGGTATGGTATTGGGATTGCGTATCGACCGTATGGAACGGACTGGTATTGAAAGGCTGGGCAGTTGTCTGTCCTCCCTGGCGCATGTACTTACTCCGTCCGTCAAGCGACGGCTGGGGAACCATGCCGGGCTGACCTCCTGAGTCGCTGGGATAGCATGACCTGAAGCTTTGGAGGAGATATGACGGCTAATCCGTTGCGTCTAGGAAACAATCCTCGCTTTCAGTGTTCCGGTCTAGCAAGGACGGACTCCTTTGCTGTGACAAAAGCACTAGGGCCCGATTCCAGGTCTCGCGGTCGTTCGATGAGAAAAATGCAACCAGCTACTCCGTGCTCCTGTACATAGGGAAACATCCGTATGCGGAGCCTTACGCCAGCGAAATGGCTCCGACAATCCACAATTCCAAGAAAGAATCGATCGCCATCTCGCAAATGATCGGAGGCCACATTTGCCTGGTTGCACATACTTCTCCTGATGATCCCACGAACTGTATAAAGCCAGCCCATCATCTTGAAGAACTACATGCTTAATTTTGGTACTGGCGGACCTGGGTATCAAAATGAGCTGAGACTCTTAATAATCCACCGTGATGTCAGGCCTTATGTGGCACCTTGTTCACAGAGCGGACGAAGCTAGAATCGTCTTTGTCATCGTGATTTAATGTTGCGTAAGGATCTGTTGCTGCCATCATCGTCATCAGAAGCTAACAGCATCAACCGTCATGCTGATAAACAAGGCAACAGTACAGAGTATAACTATGTATAACCATCTTCCAAGGTAAAGCCATGAGCTCCTAGATCCAATTGTCTGGCCCGCTCGGATGTGTGCTTGTCAAGGAACTAGCCCTCGACCCGACATCCTTTCATTTATCGTTCGCAAGCGGTAGCATTGACGATCCTTGGCCTTCCTAGGTGTTCGATCAATCACTCTACAGCGTATTGCAAACGCCCAAACGGGATCACACCCTTCTGAGGTGCCTAACAACTCAGAATTATTTCTCAATGGCGAGATGGTCACTAACCGAAAGCCAAATACAGCTTTTCAAGTGTGCAGATGCTCAATATCCACACTTCGGCCCAAATGAGACGGCTGGAACCAGCGGGTATATAACTCGTTGGCAGTTGAATCGAAGCATTCAGAAGTCTTGAACACCAGTCTCTCCTTGCAGTCTTGGATTGCCGTTTTCATCCGTTTCGACCAACCACTCCGGCTCTTCTTCATCGAAGTACTTCTCCTGCTCCTCACTTTGGTCATCGTAGTCGTCGCACTCGTCGACAGTAGCGTAATCAAAATCTTGGTCTGCTCCTCTCAGAAATCTCAATTCCATCTCTGATCTCCACCTCTCTTTTCCCTCTTCTCGAGTTGCGGGGATCTCGTCCTCCTCTTCAGCCAGAATTTCTCCGTGCGGCCCACGAGCGTAAGTAAACGTTGTGTTTGGATCAGGATGCGCCAGAGCCTCCATTTTCAGTTCTGCTCTCATAAGATCAGCTTCCAGCTCGCCTGAGTAGCCCTTTGCACGGCCCTCTTCTTCTCGTTCGCTCGCCGTTTGGAAACGTCGGATCAAGCGATCGTAAAGTAGAGGGTCTGGAGACCCCGCAAAGGGCTAGTTAGTATGTTGTGCGACACTCGCAGAAGCAGAGACAAAAGCACACCAGCTAGCTCGAGGCCGGAAGAGAAATACTCTGGGTGTAATTCCAGGTATCTCTTCCGGCGGTTTTTGACGTGAATAGATGCGGGAGGATGTATAGGCGGGTCTGATGAGGTCTCATTGTCGTGGTCGGCGCTGGGATGTTGGCATGAAACCACAAAGGCCTCTGTGTTCATTGGAAAGTATGGCATAATGTAGAACGGCGGGATATCACGGTATATGAAGTGAGAGCCGAGAGTGACATTGTATGGAGAGCATTTGGAGCTCAATAGTAATCAGGGCCAGGCCTTGTCGCGTGGCAATTCCGCGAGCTTGAAGCCATGCTGGGGTGCTGAGCTTCTATGAAAGCTAAACTAACTAACTAGTTAGTGGACCTCTAGGGTGGAACATGAAACGACCTCAGTGGCCACGGCATGCTTCAACGAAATATCAAAGATGGAGGTCCAAATTCTAACGCATACAGATTTTGACATTTGATCCTATTAAAATTGAGCGTTCTATTCTTTGGTGTCTGTCTCCTTTTTTAACTCCTTCGCCTAGGTCCATCAGCGGGCTGCTTCACGTTATTCCCGCCCACTATCTACGCCCGTTTTGGATCTAAACCCATACATACATAGCATGGCAGGATCCAAGCCGCCTCGGGGAGGCGGAGAGGCTTCAGGAAACAAAAAGTCTCAAGGGACGGGGCCAAACACCCGAAGTCGACGAGTCGATACTCAGCACGCAATGAAATCAGCAGCTACGGCCATAGCCATTGTTGCTTTAGCAGCGAGCTCGTCATATGTTTCTCAACTGACATTGTCGCCGGTCTACGGGTCTGTTCCGGCGAGCTCTTTTCACCGTCAAGGAGTAATGATTGCCGCCCTTTTAGGCTGGCTGGGGATGAATCAAATCAAGGCTCTTTGTTTTGGAAGGCCTTCAAGCCTATTGCCAGTGCTTGCTTGGGTCATCCCGACCATCCAATACTTCTTGTTTCAACAAAGCAGTCGTATAGGGCCTGAATTCGGACCAGTTATCACGGAGCTAAGTACTCTGTACCCCTTGGTGGCGCTTTCTGCTACTTCGGCGGGGATATTCTTGAGGGAGTTGGATCTTAGCCGCGGACCTCGTTTGATAGCTGATCATGGGACCTTTCTGGGATCCTACATATTGTTCACGACCACCTTGAAGATGACAGGGAGCTATCTGGCTAGGCATATTGGGTCCAGCGTTTTAATGACCCGTACAGGCCTTCAATTCGCTATAGCGACACTCTTTTCAATATGCCTACCATCGAAGTGGCTTCTACTTACCATTCCATCTTTGATCTTTTACGCTGGATTCAATATTCATGTCCCTTCAGGACTTGCCACGGTGAGACTGAATACCAGTCTTCGAGCGGATGATTACGTTTTACTTCACCGTCAGGATTCATTAACCGGATACATATCGGTGCTGGAAAACAAGAAGCTTAATTTTAGAGTCATGAGGTGCGACCACAGTCTTCTCGGTGGGGAATGGATACCGCCTCCTGGTATGCCGAAGCAGCTGGTTAGCGACCCCGTGTACGCTGTTTTCACAATGCTAGAGTCGGTTAGGTTAATCAAGACGGATAAAGGGGAGGCACGAAAGGCAGGATCTGGCACCAATGCTCTTGTAATGTGAGCTGATTGAACCTCATGAAACATGTTTCCGCAGCTAATGCGTCTGAAGTGGACTTGGAATCGGGACTACGCCTGCCGCGCTGGTTGCCCATGGCATAAACACAACGGTTGTCGAAATAGATCCGACAGTGCACCAGCTCGCGATGGAGTATTTCAAGTTTCCGAGCAAAGCAAACACCGTGATTGAGGATGCTGTTACTTTTGTGCAACGTACGAGGAACCTTGATCCAATCCCTCGTTACGATTTTATCGTCCATGATGTTTTCACCGGCGGAGTCGAACCCGCGGACCTTTTTACGCTAAACTTTATGCACGGACTGCTTGATTTGCTGCAAGACGATGGAGTTATTGCAATTGTTCGTCTTTCCCCTGCCCATTGACATAAGATGGGATGAGACGCTAACCAACTGCTTATCAAACTACAGAACTATGCTGGTGATCTAACGTTACCTTCAGCTGGTCTGATAGTACGGACTATATTGGCTGCCTTTCCGTCGTGCAGGATCTTCCGCGAAGGCCAGCCAACTGCCGGTCCAGCAGGTGACTTCACGAATATGGTTATCTTTTGCACAAAGACAGAATCTGCCCTAGAATTTAGAGAACCGATCACATCTGATTATTTGGGCAGCATGTCAAGGGAATCGTATATGTTCCCTAAATTTGAGATCGAAAAAGATACATTCAAGAACGCAGGGAGTGGCCATCCGGATATCTTGGACAAAAGCCAAATTGGCCAGCTCCAAAAGTGGCATTCGCAAAGCGCCATCGGACACTGGAAGATTATGAGAACTGTACTTCCTGCCGCAGTTTGGGAAAAATGGTAAAATGATTATCAATAAAAGTCCATCATTCAACATATCTACCCGGTATGTCATATCCCATATCTCTCATATAATCATGTCGTTTCTAGCTTGTCTCATGAAGGCGAGTTCAGGACTTTCGCTTGGCCTCCATCCTCTATTTTGCCTTAAAGAGTTGCCTTTTCTTCCAGGAGAAGATTTTTCCTGATTTTTGCGATATCATCGTCCCCAAAGCCAATGGCCTTTTTCATGTATCCCTCAACACTGCCATACGTAGCATCTAACCATGCTAGCGTTGCTTTTATCGCTTCAGCTTTTGCCGAAGTCATTCGATGGGCGCCAGACGGGTCGTCTTGCAGAGCAGGATGCTTGAGCAGATTTTGTATGAACTCTTCTCTTAACGAGCCCAATCCCACTTCCGTGAGCTCATACTCTTGGCCAATTACATCGTCATCGCGTACCCCGGCAACACGCAGGACCAACGCCGCAAATACACCCGTTCGATCCTTGCCGCCTGTACAGTGGAAGAGCAGAGGCTGGTTCGGCTGGTCTCTGATATGTTCAAAAACAGTCTTAAATGCGTTGTTTGCTCCACTCTGCAATATCTCCTTGTACGCATGCATGAACGCTTTGGGTCCCTCTTCAGAAGCATAATGCTTATATCTCAAGGCGAGACTTTCGGGACTTGCGTCCTGGTCCGTGAAAACAGGGACATGCAACCTCTCTGCGCCGGGAATGTCACAGGACGGGTTTTTTATTGTCTCTGGAACGGAACGAAAATCAAAGATCTTGGAAATCCCGAGTTGTTGGGCAAGCACTTTTGCGCCTTCCGGCGTGGCTCGCGAGAGGTGCGCAGAGCGGTAAATAAAGTTGCGTCTTACGGAGGCTGTTGACGATATGGCGTATCCTCCTACGTCGCGGAGATTGGAGATCCCATCGGCTATGTAGAATGGCGGGGACGGAAGGCTGGTTTGGAGAAATTCTTGCATTGTTGTCGGCTTTTGTCGTTAATATCCCAGTCGGAGACGAATTTATTTTTCTTCTTTCTGGATGATTTCTCGTTTGATGCTCACCAGTCCAAGTAAACAAGGCAGGCAGGGCGAAATAGTACGAAAGTGGCCCTATGTCTTCAGTATCATGCGTTGCTCGACTGTTGTGGGGGAGTTTCGGATGTTGCTGCGTGATGATGATGCTGTTAAAATCGATTTTTTGCCGAGGCCATATGGAAATGTTTCTGCCAAACTCTAACTACAACCACTTATTAGAGCCAACAGCCGGTGGACTTTGCCGGCTGGGAGCGCAGATGGTGGGAAGCATCTTCGCCGGCGCTTGAATATGCGGTTGTTCCTAATAGCATGGCGTGGGATGTCTCTGCACGAGGAGGAGGGTCGGAATTACAGTGATGGCCTCTGCGGATTCTTTCAAGTAGAGCCTTGGTTATCGCCAGGTACAAGCACGCCTCGAACAGCCGTAAAGTTTCAAGCCCGCTTCACTATAAAATGTAGGGCTGATCCCGCCAAACAAAGCCTTCAAATTGTTGTCTTATGTGCCTCTACTGGTGCTATTATTAGCCTTATATCTTCATCTATAATGAGATTATGATTGCTGAGTGGCTTCAGCATTTGTACTAGGGTTATAGTTGCACTTATAGTTGACATATAAAGCCATTCCAAGGAAATCCCTGTGAATCTTCCAGCTCTCAATGCAAACCCCCACAGTGCCTCTAAATCCATCACCTCTCTCCTAGTATCATCCTTACCTATTAAATCACTCTCTGAGGCTTTCTTGATTCAACAGCCAATTATATATCGAGGACAGGAAGATTGTTGACCCTCAAAGAGTGCATCTAAGCTCAAATGGAACAACATCATGGAATAGAGGTCATCAAATCCATCATCAGAAGGATTTCAAGCTTAACACTGATATCATCTGCAATTCTTTTCCACTGCCAAATATTTCATCCTTGGAACACAAGTTGCAGTTAACAAGCTGTCCCTTCTATGCACACTTTCACTTGGAGAGCCATACTTTTGGCACTAAGTACAACTTGATAATATTGTTCGCATTCTCTTCATCAGAGAACAGCTGCTTGAGAAATTTTTCCTTCCAATATCGAGCATATTCACTTAGATGGAGACGTGGGAATGTAATGAAGCTAGCAGTTCCATAAGTCCTGGAAACCAACTTGATACTCACATTTATCTCACCTTGTCTATTCACTTTGTTGCATTTTCTAGGCTGGCTGGTTCTTTGTAGTAAATTTGATTTCCAACATGTTTCCAGCAAATGGCTCCTCAGAATTCTGGAATATCTACATATGTATTCTGCACAGAGAGCAACAACAGAGCAAATTCCTCATCCAGAAAATTATCTACATGTCTACAAGCCAGGCTATAAAGGATGAGCTGTTCTCTCTGCTTCGGCCCAATTCAAACTTGGACACAAAAAGTGGACTGGAATGGCAAAGTACCCGGGATTATCCAAAAAGGCTGTTATCCCCGTCAATATTTGGACTATGGAGCTCAACACCAAGCAGCATCCCAAATCAGAATGATCGTGCTCAGATAATAAATACCCAAAGCAGTCGACAAATAAGGATCACGTCTCCATCTTGGTGTATCGGTGCACACTTTCTAGCCGACCTTCAGACTAAAGAGGAACTACTTAACCCTAGATTTAAAGGTCCTGTTAAGCCGGCTTTCATCGGAGAGGTGAATATTCCCGGAGTCGATAACGCCGGAGGATGGTATGGCAATGCCCAACTAAGTGCTGCCCAAATCTCACAATGGACGGAGTTTTCGAACTCCGAGCACTGGCCCTTTGGGAACTTGCAGGGTCTTCCACACGAAGCATCACACGCGAAGACAAAAGGGTCATCACCATTCAAAGTTTAATTCGTCAGAAAGGGACAAGATTCAACCGTGGCTTGTGTAAGGAAAAGAAGAATCCAGGGCATTGCAAGATCATATCCATGGATGTTGCCTAGCAGGACACACAGTGCATAGTAATACGAGACTAGATATTTTTTTTTTTTTTTTTTTGGCGAAGAAAAATGCTCAGAGCTTGAAGAATTGGAGACCAACGACAATGGGAGCTCTCGCCAATTCCCAGGGGTCAATCCAATGACATCAATGAAATGCTTCCCCAGTCCCTTAAAATAGGATCCTTCTCCCCGTATAAGTTGTTCAGGGATATGGACTCGCCTCTGTTAAGATTTTGGTCATATTCACCCACGAAGATTGCCGCAACAACGGCAAGAATGAAGTTTATTTGGAGCAGGCTCAGACGCTTGGGCATGTTTTCATGCGCAGGGCCAAGGATCATTTAGGGACCGGGATTTCTTCAAGACAAGGAACTGCAACATGCATAGCTGATTAGCACATTGGCTTTGCTGGCCGGTGTCTGATCCAGTCTCGGACATGAACGCCGGGATCATTAAAGCTTGCTGGAAACAGTTCGCAGTTGATAAAGATGATGGGAGTGATTGGATACTCCATCTTGATGACTCCGAAATACTCTTTCCAAGGCAATGGTACGCTGGTCGATCCGTTCAATCACTGACAGTTCTCTGGACCAAAAAAAACAAGGTTTTCGCGGATATGTACATTGTAGACCTGTCGCTTCCTTGTTGCAAGACCAGGATAGGTGGGCAGCATGCATGAGATATCTGATTGAAAGGAAGGATCTTGAGCCCTGCCGTGTCAGATGCAAGCCCTTCTCCCCAGCTCGCTGATCCTGAAGCAAAGCGAGAGCTGCTCGTCACGGTCATACGAGCTAAAATAGTCGTACTCGCGCTCTTATTGGGATTATTTGTCCAAGAGATGTTGGCTTCATGTGAATAAGATCCTTCGCACTCCTTCCAGAAATTTCCTAGCCTTGGTCAACTAGTATGTGAAATGGGCCCATGGGGAGCAGCCCATGCCGTCACTAGCCGGGGTGGTAGAACCGGGCTGGAAGAGCCGAGGACGGAAATTATCCAACGAGATGTTTTTGCTCTGGGTTGAGTTACATCCGGATTGTGGCTCTCGACCAAGCCCAAGCATGGGGTTCGAGTCGCGGCGCGAGAAACAGATGGGTCTTCCCAACGCTCCCGACAGCCAGCTTCCAAAGACTAGTCCGCAGCAACTAAAGGAGTAATAAAGTAAAAGACAGCAGTTGTTGCGATCAAGCGGATTCTGGAGAGGAGTGGTGATCTGCGCGAGAGCAGAGCGTTTGGGCGTTGAGATGGAGGGACGTTGCCATGCGGTCATGTGTTTCTGGCCGCGCAAGTGCGGCGGTTGCCTGCCAGTCCAGCGACGAGAAAATCAAGACAAGAAGCCGTCTGTTGCTGTATCCCCTCTCACAAGTCTCGAGATTGCATAACTTCGGTTTTGAATCCACTCCAGAACCCAGAATAATCGTCGCTCTGTATATATTTAAATGATGGCTGTTGCTGAACGGCCAGATGTCGAGTATATCAATGGGAAGAAGACATTTGTGCCGCTAGGTAGCTTCTCATCCCCTCAAGTCGCGACCTCCATCGCGTGCTGATCTTGTGGAATCATTCCAGAAAACAATCCAGAGGTGATGTCCCATTTGATACACCATCTGGGCGTCTCTCCAAAGCTGGGATTCTACGATGTCTACAGCATTGATGACCCGGAGTTGCTCTCCTTTATTCCCCGCCCTGCGTATGGGTTGATCTTCATCTGCCATGGAGACGTCTACCATCGAGCTCGAGACGAGGAAGAAGTATCAAGGAATGATTATGAAGGATTTGGCCCAGACGAGCCAGTCCTTTGGTTCAAGCAGACAATCGGAAATGCCTGTGGCTTGATGGCCTTGTTACACTGTATCAGTAATGGCCCTGCGCGCCACTATGTTCAGCCGGAGTCGGGCTTGGACAGGCTGCTCAAAGCAGCCGTGCCACTGTCTCCCGTTGATCGTGCGAGATTGCTCTATGATTCCCCGGTACTGGAAAATGCGCATCGTTCGGCCGCGCAGATGGGAGACACGCGGGCTCCGATTCCCAGTGATAGTTGTGAATTCCACTTCATTAGTTTTGCTAAAGGCGATGATGGTCACTTGTGGGAGTTGAATGGTTCGATGAAAGGCCCTGTTGATCGCGGTGCCCTGGCGCCTGACGAGGATTGTTTGAGCGAGAATGCCCTAAATCTGGGAGTGCGCACACTCATTGGGAAGAAAAGTGAGACCGGTGAGGCCGGGTTCGGCTTCAGTTTGGTGGCCCTTGGACCCAGCTTAGAATGAATGCAGGGCTTCAGATCGTTGTAACGGCAGAGCGCCATCAAGGTCCTCCATAACAAGGAATTGATGACAAAAGTGCTCGAATAGCTTTCTTCATGATTTTCCTTCGCTTAACAACAGCAATATAGTCCATAAGCAATCCACCAATGCTTTGGAACTGTGGTTACAGGCCCTGCCAGGCCACATGATCACTCGTAACACCGAGGAACCCTCCGCCTTAATAGGTGTATATTTTGCGAAGTTCCAGAATGTTAACAGGGTGGATATAATAATGAGCCAGTCATCCCCACGCAATGACCGAATTTCTCCGCCTCCCAAAAAGGGAGATGAAATCGGAGAGGCTTAATTGCATTTGGTCGCCGAGGTGTAGTCAATGGCACCGAAAGGCCTGAATACGATTGGCACGCTCGTACGGGGTACGGAGAAGGGGGTTCGCAGGACATGGAGCCGACCATCCCGCTGAGCGGCACGGTTCCCCGCTGAACGACGTCTGCCTGTCCGCATGGAGTAGTACGACCTGATAACTGATCCATGATGCATATCGGAAAATTCTCTTAAGGATTGAAACATCCCCGGCCTCAGTTGTCTAGACGACGAGCTCTGCTGCCCTCCAGTATTTTGAGCAATTCTTCCAATGGAGTGCTGCTTTAACTTATCTCGGCGTTTTGAGCAGTTAAGGACTCAAGTCAAGTGGAGAGGCACCTTCTCTTGAATAAGACACGGGTTAGTTGGTGATCGTGGCGACTTTTAATTTACTTAGCCGAACCTAAATGGCTGGACGGTCAAGGGGTATCCTTGTTTCTCTCCAGCCTTTTTCAGGCCGTCGAAGGGAAAGCAGCGGGAAATCAGCCAATGCCGTCAGCTGGTGTGCTGATCTTCTCCAGATTGTTCTCGAAATATCCGACTTCTGGCTTCCCTTGGCACCATGTTCCTTGCTCATTTTGATTGCGGAGGTCATCAACGACGTTTCTGCGAGAGACCCGATGGCGCTGTTTGTTAAACAACTCGCACTTTGCTTTTTGGACTTGGCATTGTAACCTCGACTTGAGTTGATACGCTATGGTTATCCGATACCCTTCTCAATAAAATAGCAATCGATCAGGTCCACGGGTCGAGTTGAATGGCCCATGCCTCCAATGTCACCTCCGAAGCTTATCCGATCCGCAATCCGTATCTGGTCGAAAACCGGCTCTCGACGGCTGGTCCCGTACTACACTCAGACCATGATTTGCTCTGTCGAGTTGATCGAAAGTGCAGGACGTAACTAATATATAATGTATGTATGATGCCTGAAAGGATGGGGATTCTCTTTCTCGCGGAAGAGAAACGGGACCCGCTTCACTTGATCAACCAGCGCGATCCGCTCCCAAAGCTTTCCCATAGGGAGGTTGACAAGGGTCCAGGATACCTCGTTTGTACGGAGTAACGACAGAGAGGCTTCCGGAGAGGTACTCCGTAGAACTTTATCACTCGACGGCTTAGCGTGACAAACGAAATGAGGGGAGGCTTCCGGACAGTGTCGGGAATCCACTATCCCGGGTACCTTGAGTCCATTGTTGGGCCGACAAGGGCTGCTGGTTGTCTAGCTGAGGTCTGTTCGAGATGTATTTAAACCTCCCCATGCTCCCAGCATTGGGGAGATGGATAGACAAGTCCTCACAGGGTCCAGGGTTGTCTATGGGTCATTGAGATCTTGGAACAGCAAGTTATCTGTTTGGGCCCACGTCTTCGTCACTCGCAGCAATGGCGATGGCTAAATGGCTGCTCGCGGCCGCCGCGCTGGCATCGCCAGCTCTGTCTATGACCCCAGAGTAAGCAATTTCTGGCTATGATAGGAATCAAGTCGGCTTCCAGATCATCGAATACTGACGAGACACGGTCCTTTGTAGGCAATTTATTTCTTCTCCACGAAGAGGCGAGGCCATTCCAGACCCGTCAGGAGTAAGTTTTGCCATTTTGGCCGTGATTTTGGGTGTAATCTGTATTTGATTGACAAATCTGAATAGAAAGTCGCATTTTTCCATGTGTCTCAATACTCCTTTGAGAAACACGAGACCACGAAGAATGAATGGGACGTCATCGACTTGGAGAGTAGCAAGATCACCACGCTCACCGATGATGAGAACGTTTCAGAGATTGTCTGGCTTGGTAGAGGCACAGAAATCCTCTATATCAACAGCACCAGTTCCGAAACACCCGGAGGTTGTGAAATCTGGGTTTCTGATATCAAGGACTTCTCCAAGGCGTAAGAGACACAGAAAGAAGCTGAGGGATTGCAACAGTATACTAACACACTCTATAGCTACAAAGCTGCTGCTTTCCCTGGCCCACTCAGCGGTCTGAAGGCCGTTCTTACAAGGAGCGGCGACGTTAAGTTCGTCACCTACGGCCAGTCTACCACTGACGGTACTCTCTACAACCCCGAGACGGCGGAGAAACCTCTCTCTACTGCTCGTATCTACGACAGCATTTATGTCCGCCACTGGGATACCTGGTTGACAACTCAATTCAACGCTGTTTTCTCCGGCACGCTAAGCAAAGGAGACAACCAGTACAGCCTTAACGGAAATCTCAACAACCTTGTCGCCCCCATCAGAAACGCCGAATCTCCCTACCCACCATTCGGCGGATCTAATCACTATGATATCTCTCCAGACGGCCAAACTGTTGCTTTTATGAGCAAGGCCCCCGAATTGCCCAAGGCCAACTTAACCACTAGCTACATCTTCGTTGGTCCCCATGATGGATCTGCTGAATTCACTCCAATCAACGCACGAGATGGCCCAGCGACCCCCGAGGGTGTTCGTGGTGCTTCCACCTCTCCAAAGTTCTCTCCCGATAGTAAGAAGATCGCTTATGTGCAGATGCATGGCGAAAACTACGAATCTGACCGCAATATTATTTACGTTGCTACTCTTGGCTCATCCCCAAGCATTAGGGCTGTTGCGGAGGACTGGGATAGATCTCCCGACTCTATCCAATGGACTCGAAATGGCAGAACTTTGTACTTTACCGCTGAGGACCGCGGCACCGTGAAACTTTTCTCTGTCTCTGCCACTGCAGGAAGACGCACCAGGCCACGAGCCATGCGCAACGTCGGCTCTGTCAGTTCTTACAGCTTCCTTGGACGCTCTGACCGCGTGCTTGTCACTGGTACCTCTCTCTGGTCCAATACTCTATATTACACGACTGGCCCACGTGGTGCTCCACGGAAGGTGTTCTATGCAAATGAACACGATCCCGAATTGAAGGGACTCGGCCCCGAGGACGTCGACGAATTCTACTTCCAGGGATTCAGACAAGAGGTAAACTTGCCCTCTTCCACATTATACCTGTAATGCTTGCTGATAAACACCATCGCAGGTCCAAGCCTGGATTGTCAAGCCTGAGAACTTTGATCCCAACAAGAAGTATCCTTTGGCGTTCCTTATCCACGGAGGTCCTCAGGGCGCCTGGGGTGACTCTTGGAGCTACCGATGGAACCCCAAGGTCTGGGCTGATCAAGGATACGTTGCCGTTGCTCCAAACCCAACTGGCAGCACTGGCTGGGGTCAGGCCTTTACTGATGCCATTCAAAACGACTGGGGTGAGTTGGCGTCTAGTCTTTAGCATAGAGACATACTAACGGTGAGCCTACAGGAAACGCTCCTTACAAGGATCTCATTAAATGTTGGGAGCACATTGAAAGCTCCATTCCCTACATTGATACCGAAAACGGCGTTGCTGCAGGCGCCAGCTTCGGCGGATTCATGATCAACTGGATCCAAGGCAATGACTTTGGAAGAAAATTCAAGGCCTTGGTCTCCCATGACGGAACCTTTGTTGCTCCTGCTAAGATCGCCACTGAGGAGCTTTGGTTTATGGAGCACGACGTATGGCCTTCATTTCTCTGATCTTTACCCTAGTTCCTAACATATTTCATAGTTCAACGGCACCTTCTGGGATGCCCGTGACAACTTTGAGCGCTTCGACCCCTCTGCTCCAGAGAACATTCTTCGCTTCGCTACTCCCCAACTCGTTATCCACAACGATCTCGACTTCCGTCTCTCTGTCTCTGACGGCGTCAGTCTTTTCAACATCCTTCAGGAGCGTGGCGTTCCCAGCCGCTTACTCAACTTCCCGGATGAGAACCACTGGTATATTCCCCAGCATCCTTTCCCCGGCATCGCAGGTTTTCTAACATACTCCGCTTCATAGGGTCCTTGGAAGAGAGAACTCCCTCGTCTGGCACCAGCAGGTCCTCGGATGGGTCAACAAATACTCCGGCATTGGGGAGAGTAATCCTAATGCTGTCAAGCTGAGCGACACTACGGTCCCGGTCGTCAATATCAACCCGTAAACATCCGGTCGATAATCATATCGCGATTTCTCCCTTCGCGGGCATAAATTTCCCCGGTTCACAATTCTAATTGTATATATTAATAATACCAGTATTTACTGCTCAAGAAATCCCAGAAATTGAGTACATGACACCTGTTCAATTTTTATCTCCTTACTCTGCTGTAGTTTATGTCCTCCGCACAATAGGTTACAAAATATAGCAGCGGCTCGCTGGATGTAGACATATGCAAAATCGCATTCGGCTTACAAAAGTGCACTGATATAATTATAGCTTATAGCTTGAGAGAAAACCATAGAAAACGGGGTATAGAAGACTCACTGTATCTACCAAGCCGATATCAGGAGGGCAGTCCACCAAATCAAGCGAGGAATGAAAGCTGGATATGGATGCCGGGTTAAAAAAGCAAAGACTAAAGGAGCTGCAACAAACAACATGTCCCGCCAATAAACGAAGGAGGAAACACTCCAACCATTGTGAATTGCCTTTATCTCGACATCAAGTATCATGTCTGGTTTGATCGAGGGCTACCGCCCGGCTTTTTAACCAGGCCTGCGAAAAAGCTGGCCAAAGCCTGATTTTGCATCTTTGGTTCCCCGGTTGAAGCCACGGGTGATGAGCCAACGGATCCTGCGAGCGGTGATTCCCCCCCGGACTGAGTCTCCCTGCGGTTCGACGCTCGGCTGGCTTCCCGTTCCTATAACGAGGCTGTTAGCGAACGAAAGCCAACAGTCTCCATAGAGGAAATAGATAAGGCCTACCTTTAGTCTCCTCAGCATGTCATCGGCATCGACTTGAATACCACCCATGTTAAACTGTACTGGTCCAATGTGCTCATTGACTCGTCCAGTCTCATCAATCACAGGGCTCTCCCTAAGCGTTCCTTCTTTTCGCACCTGGCGCTCCTGTTTCTCATCTTCAGCTTTCAATTGTTCGAGTACCTCAAGCTGTTCCCCTAAAAATGTTTGGGAATCGACCGTGTCGACTTCCATTTTGTGATCATCAGATTGATTCGTCCTCGAGATGGCGGTGTCCCGTTTGGGATCTTGGATTGTTTGCTCGTATATAGCCACCGCACTCGTGCCGTCCTCCGGGTTTGGCTCTCTCTCAGCAGGTTCGTCCCCTGAGCCCGCAGATTCTTGGATTTCAATAGACCATGCAGTTCCTACGCCCTCCATGTCAAAACCTTCTCTAATTATGCGAATCTTACCCCATGAATCCCAGTTGGATGGAACTAGAATCTTGTCCCTATCAATGACGTTATGTTTAAACGACTGTCTCTTAAGAAGCGAATGGATCCCAAGCGACGAGTGTATCAAGCTTTGCAGCGAGTTGGCGAGGAAAGGTGTAGTGTATATCAGAGACGATCCGTCTAACATCCAGATTAGCAAAGGCGACGGTCAACATTGGAGAAGGGCAGCGAACGTACGCTTAAGAAGAATTGTACGCATAAACTGCAGGATAAAATCGAACTCCTCTTCCCGCCAACCATGATCCTTTTCTAGCTTTTCAATTTTCTCGGCCTATCCCTTGATTAGCTCACCACACAAAGAGGAATCGTAAAGGAAAACTTACTCCCTGACAGACAACACACATTGGGATTCCCAGCCCTTCATCCCATTCACCCGGTCCCAAAGGTATCGACACTGGAGCACTGGAACCTGCTGGGTATGTGGAGTCCGTGCCTCTCCTCTGTCCTTTCCACTCCATCATGATTTCTTCCATGACCAATTTGATATCATCATCAAGAGAGAACAACACCGATCTTAGCAAACGAATCCACTCTCTTAATTGCCGTACCCACAGCCATGGTGACTCCCAATCTAGAAGGATCACAATCAAGGTCTCCCGGACAGACTTCGGGTTTAGGAGCGGTTTTAGAAGCGGCGCAAAAGCTGGAGAGGGTTCGGAGAGGAGATAGATCGATACTCGGGAGAGGATATCTACAAAAACGCTACTGTTAACAGAGTTCCTTAAAAGCCATTATCGGATGCGCCAATACTGTGAGGGCCTACCTTCTTGGTCGGCATCGAGGACATCCCGATATGTGTATCCAAGCGCGAATTGGTTCGCAATGGGGGGAGCTTTTCCTTTCTTTTTCTCCGACGGCAGCCTTGGATCAGACGGATCAGATGACAGAGTATCTAAAAACTCCCGTTGGCTTTCTGGGGTACCTCCTATTCCATAAAATGACCGTTGGTCAAGATGTCAGTCCGCCCCCTTTCTTCAGGATGAATGCAAGCTCCACAGCAGCTACAGTACAAAGGATACATACCTAGCACTAGGAGAGTCTTTTCCGGTAACCTTTTCCCACTCGCAACTCCATCTAACATCGAGGACCACAGGTTCTTCTTCCCGTCTTTGCTAGTCGGTCTGCTGCCGGGGCCATTTTTGGTTCCGGAGCTCTGGCTCACAGTCGAGGCTCGTTGTCCGACTCCGATCATTTTAGCGACAGCATATCAAGATCGTCGGGCACAGAAGAGGAGGTATACGGTTCTATGCACCAGCACGGATAAGTATTTGCGGTTATCGCGACTGTGGTGCCTTGGGAGAAAGTAAAACGACGGCGTAGCACTGTCCGCTTTAGAGCGGAGAAGAATGAACGAAGGGTGGGTGGCGTAATGAAAGTAGATATTCCTCCGCGCCTAGTTATGAGACTAAATTGCTGCGGAGAGTAAGAAGTACTCGGCAGCTAAAGAGTGTTGAGCTGGGAGGGCATTGCGGAGACCCTGACCCTTGATGTCACGCGTTGTGGTTTTTCCGTAACAAGTTTGCAAATAACTGAAATGATTTCCGGCTTGACTCTACGATGAGCAACGCAACAATCGCTTCATTTTTACCACGGAACTCAGTCTACAATTCACCACAATATCAAGACTGAGCTCTAAGATAGTTTCCCCACTTCTTTCCTGAAAGAATTCTTTTCCCGGAATCGCCATTCCGTCTCAGTTGCTGTCTATCGAAGCGTCAAAATGAACTCCATCCGACAGATTCAGGCTCTCAACAAACGGGAATTAGAAACCGCAGTGTGAGAACAAAACCCCCTTTTCGGTCTAATCTTCCCTTTGAGTCTAACCCAGTATCTTCTTCTCCAGCTCCCCAGAAGCTTCCTGGCACGCCGACTATCGTGACACGGCTTATATCTACATCGGCGGTTTACCATATGATCTTAGCGAAGGTGACATTCTAACCATATTCTCCCAATTCGGTGAACCGGTGCACCTCAATCTAGTTCGCGACAAGGATACGGGGAAAAGCAAGGGATTTGCATTTTTAAAGTATGAGGATCAGAGAAGTACCGATCTAGCCGTGGACAATCTTTGTGGTGCGACTGTGATGGGAAGATTGCTGAGGGTTGACCACATGAGGTACAAACGAAAAGAAGAGGAGGGCTTGGAAGATAATATTGCAGCATTAGATAAGGAAGAGCTGGAGAGACAACGGGGTGGACGGGACCATGATCGTGATCATCATGGTTATAGGACGTCTAGAAGGCGCCGATCGGAGAGCAAGAGTGACGGTGAGAGAAGGAAACGGCCGTTACTGAAGGAAGAAGTGGAACTGGCACGGCTTATTGAGGAGCATGATGATGAGGATCCAATGAAAGAATATTTAATACAGGAAAAGAAAGAAGAGGTTGCAGCAGCGCTGGCAAAATCGAAATCAAGCAGGCGACGAAACGATAGCGCCGAGCGACGGGATCGACACCGGCATCGCCGTCATCACCGACGGAGACATAGCGAAGAACGTTCCCGTTCGCGTGAAAGACGTCATGCACACCGTAGAAGATCGCGATCGCGATCGCGATCTCCCTCAAGGGGGCGGAGACATCGAAGAAGAGATTACAGCCCGTGAAAAGTTCAATCTCAAATCCTGATTATACTACAGCTGATTAAGGCAAAACATTGATAAAACACCCTATCGCAAGGTCGGGAATGATGAACAAAAACAGACAAAGAATTCTTGCGCGAATGCAAAAGGCTTGCGTCCTCTTCGAAAGACCTATGCTTCCGCCGGTATCGGACCCTACGGTGGAATGAGGCCACCGGGACTGTTGTTCCCGCTCTGCAATATTCCCTCCGCGCAATCGATGGTCACGTTGGCAGACAATTTCCTTCATTCCACCCAAGTGTCTCCCGGGTGGTAGTATATTGAAAACGGGGTCGAGTGGAAAATCCCGTTCGTTAAATGCTAGCATCTGGTGCAGTTGAGAATTATCGGAAAGAAAATCCCAGCTGCAGGGTGGAAATAGCGGCTTCAACTTCCTAAATACCGCTTCCATCCAGTTCTGGTGCAAACGCGCTTCCCATCCTGACCATCCTGAATTATAAATCTCTCCCATCTTCCATCTTTACCCGCGCCTATTAACAAGATTGTATCGTCACTAGTCCAGCCAATAACCCCTTTGGGCGGTCGGCTAAAGGAAGAACCCAGCTGCGGAATATATCCCGTGCCCGGAGGGGTCTCGTCGCCAATTTCAAAAGGGGCACTGGCGAATGAATATACGTCAGAGAACAGTCGCGGAAGTAGGGGTATCTTTCCTAGGAATCCCCATTTATTGTATAATGCCTCTTCCCCTGTGACTTGTGGTGGCTGACTGTTTGGGGAAGGATTACGAGCGTGCGGTAGATCAAAAACATGCAGGGTAGATTTGTCTGATGTAACAGCAAGTAGTGTGTTAGATGGCGATATGCCCAATGAAAATATGTCCGCATGCTCCAATCCTCTCCGTAATTCTGCTATCTTGGCACAGTTGCTTGTTGCAAATACACGGATGAGTGTTCCCTGATTGTATTGATTGTTAGCGCAACGGCCCCAAACGAGTAACAAGGACTAGGAGAGGAGAGCCATACTGTTTCGCTCGCAGTGGCCAGTAAAGCTCCATCAGAGCTTAAAGTTAGCGCTCTCAGCGGAGAGCTGTGCGCCGGAATAATGCTAACATTTCCAGTCTCGAGTTCTACCACTTGGACTTGGCCAGGCGATCGACCAGGGAAAGCGAGAAGTTGCTGGCCTAAGCATAGTAGTCCCAGGGGGTTATCTACCGTTTCAAAAACGGAGAGTTTCTGTGGCGGAACGGAAAATGCAAAAACATGGACGCTATTGTGTAAAGCAACAACAACACGCGATCTGGTAAGGCGGACTCGCAGGACAGAAGTGCGAAACTCCAGCGTAATGGCCGCCTTTTGCTTCGCGTCGTCCCAGATGATCAACTAGAAGACGGTGAGCCATTCGGAAGAGTACTCATGGTGGATGGACGGGCAGGTCAGGTTGCACACCTTGTTCTGAGGGAACTTAGGCCTGCGCCCACCTCCGACGAGGGCTAGGTAGTTGGACTGGCCAAGCATCTCCACAACCCCGATTCCGGCATTGAAGTCTGACGGAGTGTTAGCAGTTGTAGAATTTGGGTATATATTGAAATTCCCAGTGCACACTTGCTTACCTCTTGACACCTTTAGCTCACATGGATCGGAATTAAAGACTGCGCATAAAACAATGGTCAGTCAAGGGTTCGTCCGGATAAGAACTCGGGAATCGAAGTCTCACCACAAAATCCCGAGTCAAGGCCAACCGAAAAGCAGCTGCTGTCACTGTTGAAAGCTACCGAGAGAGAGCCGGGCCCCGTAGAGGTATCTATTACTTGTCTTGTGTCCATAATTCCATTCAGAACAAGGGCCTTATCATGATACCATGAAGCATCGGGCTCGATATAGAGCGCAGAAAGCCGGATTAAATAGATGGATCAGAGATGTCCATAGAAGGAAAAAAAAAAGGATATATAACGATACATATACAGATCTGCCGCCCGTGAGGCTCAACTTCACCGCTTTCCTGCTTCCCAACTTATTTGTTTAAAGCAACCACCCTGACGGCCTTCAGACGTTCAAGCTGGCGGTCGTGATGCATGGATGGTTGGCGATGATATCAGATCAGACGCAGCGGAAGGTTGGCTTATGTAATCCACAATGCTGCGCCGGTGTGGTCACATGACGGGGTCATATTGGACGCTTGGTCGGATATGGCTTAGCGCCGGCCGTGAGCTTCCTGGAAAAGGTTGTTCCGTGAGCTGCAGAAGCGCGTCCACCAGCTGCAGGGAGCAAGGCCGGGGCGGACGTGGGATATCGTCCTATGTATCGACATGCTGAATGCCAGCCGGGACCAATAACTTAATGTACGCGAGACGTATTGTTGATTGATTACTGTGTTTGTGGGCAAAAGTCGCTAGGCTCCTCCGGCCGGTGGTGGTGAGCACCGAGCGACCCTCAGGCACACAACCTGTCCGCTTGGTTCCTCTGGGGAAAATAAAGGGGGGAAACTCAATAGTTGCGCAAAAGTTACCATGCGGTAATCGGGTTACCCGCCATGCCCGTAATTCAGCCAATGGCTGAGCGGGGAAACAGCCAAAACAAGCAGTCGGCCAGCCAAGCAGAATCGGCCCCGGCGCAATATTCGGTCCTTGCAGCGACCCCATTGGCTGTCTTTGCTGAAAAATCACCTGAAACGGAATCGTCACAAAACAGCAGGCTAACCGGAGCGGGACTAGCGGCGCTCCCTGCTGCCCTTCCCAATCCCGCCTAGCGCTGTTTGGCCAGCGGACAACCAAAGCAACTGAAGGCCCCTTAAACTTAGTTTTTTACGACCTGACTGACCCTCGCAAGCCATCACAGGTCTGCTTCAACCCTTTTCTCCCTGCCTCGTCTCTCGCAATTGTTGCCATTGCAGCCATCAAGGACCCAGATCTTCTGCTGCCCCTCCCTGAAGCTGGGATCTCCCTCGCTTCCACGCCGCTGAACCCAACAACCCTTCTCATTTGACTGCGAGACTACTCCGTAGTTTCTTGCACCCCGTCCTTCACGATTTCGTTCCACGCCAACTCGCACGCCATGGCTTCTACAGTCAACGCTGTACGTTCCCGTCCTTCGTTTGTGTGGATGGCTGGGCCCCTGCCCGCTTTGTCGCTCGAGCTGTAGCTTTGCCGGCCTTCTGAAAGCCACGATGACACACCCTTAACTGCCCATGCTGACCTTGCAAACACAGATCAAGATTCGCCGGAAGAAGAATGTGAAGAAGGGAATTCAGTTCTGTCTGATGGTTTGCGGCGCCAGTGGAACCGGTATTGGGCACTCCATTTACGCTTACTTGTGTCGTTACTTCACCTGCCGCGTGCTAACCATGGGTCAATCTTCCGCACCTTTAGGCCGCACAACCTTTGTCAACACACTCTGTGGAAAGAAGGTTTTGCAAGGAAAAGATGCCGACGATCCTACAAATGCTCACCTTGAGGAAGGTGTGCGTATTAAGCCGGTCACTGTCGGTGGGTTTAAGGCAACGTCTCCGAGGTGAAGGTCCAGTTGTACTAATCTCTACATAGAACTCGAACTAGATGAAGAGGGCACCCGCATTTCCTTGACAATTGTCGATACGCCGGGCTTTGGCGATCAGATCGACAATGAAGAGAGGTATGGAGGGGTCTTCTGGAACATGCATGTGAACAGCCAATGCTAACCGGGTTGCACAGCTTCTCCGAAATCGTCGGTTATCTCGAACGCCAGTATGATGACATCTTAGCGGAAGAATCCAGAATCAAGCGTAACCCTCGATTCCGTGATAACCGTGTGCACGCTCTCCTTTACTTTATCACACCCACTGGTCACGGTTTGCGGGAGCTTGATATTGAGTTGATGAAGCGCTTGTCTCCACGTGTCAATGTTATCCCGGTAATTGGGAAGGCAGACTCTCTTACCCCGGCCGAACTCGCAGAGTCGAAAAAGCTCATCATGGAGGATATTGAGCACTACCGTATCCCCATCTATAACTTCCCCTACGACGTTGAAGAGGATGACGAAGACACCGTTGAGGAAAATGCCGAGCTCAGAGGGCTTATGCCATTTGCAATTGTTGGTTCTGAGGATGTCCTTGAGATTAACGGCCGTAAGGTCCGCGCAAGACAATATCCATGGGGTGTAGTTGAGGTCGAGAACCAGCGACACTCCGATTTCTTGGCTGTCAGAAGTGCTCTCTTGCATAGCCACCTTGCCGACCTCAAAGAGATTACTCACGATTTCCTCTACGAAAATTACCGAACTGAAAAGCTCAGCAAGAGCGTGGAAGGTGGAGCTGCTGCGTATGTGATTCCCAGTCTGATTATGCATCTCGAAACATCAATGCTAACAGTATTCGTAGAAACCACGATTCCTCGATGAACCCAGAAGATTTGGCCTCGCAGTCCGTTCGCCTAAAGGAGGAGCAGCTCCGCCGCGAAGAAGAGAAGCTCCGCGAGATCGAACTGAAGGTGCAGCGGGAAATCAACGAGAAGCGGCAAGAACTTTTGGCCCGCGAGAGTCAGCTGAGAGAAATCGAGGCTCGCATGCGCGAGCAGAATCGACAACTCGAGCACGGGGATGGAACAAATGGGGAAGTGGGCGCTTAAATTTCATTACCATACCCGTGTGTGGGGCCCCCATAGGCCGTCTTTATTCAAAGGCCATTGCAATTTGATACCATTAAATTCTTTGTTTAGCAGGGAGGTAGGTGTGAATGCACTCAGTTCTGGCTATATAACAACTGAGTCCTAGCAGATGCCAATAGGAGAGAGAGAGGCAGTGAGAAGGGCAAAGTACCCATGGATTTGACTTTTGAAAGCTTGTGTTTTTATTTGATACTAAGACCTGATACTCACTATGCTCTTAATATTGATTCTCTTCCTTTGATCATTCCGATTTCTTTACATACACACAATCATGTAGCTTTATTAGCCATGACCCCAGGGGCCCTCCCGCCTGCCTGGACACCTCTTCTCTTATTTCTACAGCCTCATTTCTTCCTCCCAACTACCCTTCGGTCTCTTTCTTTCTTTCTTGATTTCATTTTCTGGTTTCATGAAATTCTTTGTTCCGGATAGAGGTATAATTTGTTTTGTCCTCAACCCTTTCTGGTTTTCCTTTTTTTTTTTCCTTTCCCCGTTGTTCCTGGTGCTTGGTGATGTATACCCTTATTTTTAAGATCGTAATACGGATTTTCGATATCAACATGTTTAATTCACGAGCACCACAACATCAAACCGCGCGAAGCTGAACCTCGAGCCTACAGCAGGTCTATCGGTGGATTGTTTAGGTACATATGCGTGTGGGATGAGTTAGCCCCATTATATCCAGACATTATTACACCGCACGAGAAGGATCCCAATGATTCACCCAGCCCAAAAAATCAACTCTCAGCTCAATGAGTAGTATGTGCATTACATGAGAGTCGTGAACGACATACACCACGGCAATTAAAGAGGACGAAGGGGCGGAATAGATTATTCCTCGGACAAGTTTGCCTGCCCTAAACAATCAAACCAGCTCTCACATCCCCCTCCATCTCCGGCTAAAAAAAAAAAAAAGAAAAGACAAGAGGCAGAAGGTTATCCGAACTATTCATAAAGGAGCTAAGTAGTAGCCTTTTTTTTGTTTTGTTTTTTTTGGTGCCTTTGTAAAGCAATACATAAATAAAATAAACAAACCGGTATTTTTCAACTCGAGCTACAGAGTAAATCAGACATTGAATATAAACATATGCGCAATCCTAAATAATAGAGACAATAATGACTCCGCGGGGGGGGGGGTGTTGGTTATGGAGAGATTGACACTCGGGACAAGAAAGGGAAGATGATTATATATATAAAAAAAAGGAAAAGTTAGTTCAACAACAAGCAAATGGAGTGCGAGATAAAAAAAAAAAATTGAGTATAAACTGCAGCAGCATAGGAGACGGATAATAACCCTAATGCACTCAAGGCAAGCAATTATCCGTGCATTCGTCTCATGTCAAGAACAAAGAGATAGATTAGAATGCTTATGCATACAACAAAGAGAAAAGAACCAGGCACCACAAAAAAATAAAAAGTTTGAAGGATGAGGTGTAAAATTTTGGGAGGAAGGCAATCGGGTATTTTGAGTTTAACCAGAATAACACAAAAAACACACGTCACCTCAAACAAAAAAAGGCACTCTGATTTAAGCATGCAAAGAGGAAGAATAGCAAAAACACCGCCCCCCTTTCTCTAACTAGACTACTGGGGCTTGTTCCAGAAATCTAAGCTGGCCACTACATCCTCTCCTGCCTCATCCTCGTAGGCATAAATGATCTATACGACTTATTGTCAGCGGGGCCTGCCTCCAGCGAAAGGGATCGTGTCGGGAGCTGGGAATATATACCTCTCTTGTCGACGAATGTAACATGCGAATGTTACGCCCGGTCATGATATGAACCAACTCGCTAGTCTCCAAGTGTCTAATTTCAATGAAGCTGGGCTCAAAGGCCAAAATGTACGGATATGAGAGCGCGAATGCCGTTGGGTTCCCTTCCCAGGCTATTCGCCAATCGGGTCGTGCACGCCATCCATTCCGGTTCACGAAGAAGGAGAAGTCACTATAGTTTAGTAGGAACTCTCCATTCAATCTTTCAATGTGGATTGGCTTGACGTTTTCTTTCCTCGCGACAAAGTCGAGAGATGTGTCGGCTTGATCCAGTAATGACTGTCGTTCGGTTGTCTCCAAACTAACGACTTCGAAGCCACGAGAGCATCCTACACAGAGCGTCGATCTCAAGAAATGCACCGAAGAAGATTCTGCGGGGATATAGAACTCCTGAAAAGATGATGTTAGTAACAAATTTATAGAAAGTTTTGAACATAGACCCTACCTTGAACGGCTTCAGTGCATCTTGTCCGCTCTGGAACATCTTGGTTAGAGGTTTCTTCTTGCCCTTGGCAAGATTCTCCATAGGCTCAAAGACCTTAATAGTCGAGGACAAGGCAGACGTCTTGACAGAGCAGACAAGATGCCTTCCAAGACCGATACCAGATTTGAAAAAGTTTGCGTGGCCCTGAATTTTCTTAGGTCGGCGTACAAGCGGGTTTTGCCCATCGTGCACATCCAGTGCTTCTAGAGGATAAGAACTGAGGGTCTTGTTGGCCAGTACAAGCATGAGCTGGTACTCTTCAAGGGTGTCGATCTGAGTAACTGCAGTCGCATCGAGGACGCGTTTTGGCTTAGCAGATTTGTCTTTAGGCCACCTTTCAGACAAGTAGATGCCATTGTCCGTTCCATAAACCAATTTCCGACCACCATCTATATAAGTGTCAGTCGACTATTTTCTATCAAGTTCAAGTCTTTAGTCGAAGCAACTAACCTATTGGAACCAAACAATTCACTCTGTTCACTGCGGTGAAGAAGCCTTCACACAGCACGGTCTTCGAATAGAAGTTGCTGCTATGCTCTCTCAGTTTCCGTTGCTGCTCTTCAACCAATTCGATAAACCTTTTCCGTTGAGTTTGCGACGTTGCCCACAAGGTTTGGTCATAACCTCCTTTTCCAAGGTGTCTGAACGTGATAGGGAAAGCATCTTTGGAAGCTGGTGGTGCATTGGCTGCGCGGCCAGCGGCCAGCAGGTTAGCCGAAGGACGTTTTGCAATACCTAGTTTCGGTATGACCTCATCCATTTGCGCAATAACAAGCAGTTCTAGAGGTATCGGCTTCTTGTATACTCGGTACTCCTCGCGTTTGTTCACAGCCTTTATTCTCACAAGCAAGACTGCATGGTCGAAGAGATAGGCTGTGACCTCGGAAGAATCTGTTGGTCCCTTTTTAAACGCCATTTTTATCAACATGGTGCGGTTCTCTTCTGTGAGCTTGAGATCCACGTAGTCGCCAGGGGCAAACTTGAGAGCCATGTTTAATTGCATCAGGTTGAAATGGTTCTCTGATTTTCCGCTCTCCGTGTTCACGCGGGACAAGAAATCACGGATGAGGGCAATGGCTTTTGGAATGTCTTGCTTGTCCGGATTATCGTCTTTCGTGTACTTGACAACATTCTCCAGCAACAAGGGGTATCTGGCGAGACGAGTAGTGGGCTTCGTGAGATAGCCGTTGAGCTCCAGCTTTCTCGACTCTTTGAGCCTTTCTGTTTCCTCGACAAACTTGGCAAAGGCAGGGTTGGAGGCGCGCTCTTTTTCAAACTCATACTTCCCGTAGAGTTGATTTGCACCGTATTTTATAAAAGGATCGAAGCGAGGGACATACTGAAGGAAGATATCACCTACAGAATGGACGACGTGGCTTTCTTTCTGTCGTGCATTCAGTGCTTCTGAGAATCGGGAGTTGACGCTCAGGACCTCGAGAACGTTGCCAAACACAGTTCTGATGAATTTCTCTCGACGATGCTCGGGAACTGGAGAAAGATTGGTGTTATGCGCGGAACGCAGCGGCCGCATCCAAAAATCTCTCAGATACTCTAGGTCTTTCACAAAATCACGCTCAGTGTACATAACCTCGAAAATGATCTCTTGTCGTTTCTTTTCCTTATCATCAATGCTATCCGCGACTTCTTTCGGTACCATGTTGATCCATAGCTTCTGGTCCTCGCTCTCATCCTGATCATGAAGACTGCCTCTCGATGCGGAGGTCCGTAAGCCAGGGTGAGGCTTGAGGTTCAATCTGGCTTGCTGCTCCAGTCGTCTCGGACACGCAATCGAATAGCACAGCTGATCTCGAGTACAAGTTGGGGAGTAGCATTCCGTCAAGAGTGTAAAGACTCCGTTTACCTCGGAAATCGGAGATTCCTCTCCCATGGTTTCTCGAAACTGGTAGAGCTCTCCAGGAGCGTCTCGCAGTCGGTGGTCGTATGTCACATCATGAAAAAACTTTTGTGCATCTAGCGCTCTGCCGAGTAGGAGCGCTAGGTTCCGATCCGTTGTTTTGATGATATACGATAACAGATCCACGGCTTCGGCACCAGTAAAGGCGTTGGTGTACGCCAAGTCGTTCTTAATACGCTCTCCAATGGAGACTCGTTCCTTGAAGACTGCAGCCACGCGCGATAGCAAGGCGGGGTAGACAAGGGGGGTCCTGCTACGATGAGCTGTCACAGGCGCAGGGGCGGAGTGACCAGACTTGACGGAGTTGGGAGTCTGCAAGCTGTTATTGCGATCGGCAGCGACGGTTGAGGCCATAGATAATGTACGAGAATTGATGGAGCTTTCGCTCGGGTGTCTGATTCTTGAATGAGGATCATGTGGTGGGGTGATCTCTGGTAGGCCAGGGATTTGATCAGAAGGTGGCCTTTCCATGGGGCGTCGGTCCATACGGTCGGCACGGTCCCGCTCCATTCCAGAGTCTCGTCTCCGATTTGGAATCACTCTTCCAGAACTGATCGTCTGCGCATGATCGCGGTCGGAGGTGTAAGAGCTCAGCGACATTGCACGCTCGTTGTCATGCCTCTCGGGTACAATTCGGCCATGAGGGGTTCGAGAACTCATTGGGTGATAGCCTTGTTGTCTAAATGCACTCGGAGGCGCTTGGTTGTAATTGTTGGGCGGGGCGTGGAATTGAGGGGGACGTGGTCCGGGTCCTGCCATAGAACGTGATCTGTACGGGTCCGAATTCAAGGCGGCAGGGGGAGGAATTCGAGTTGGAGGTTTCATGGGTGGATACTGGGGAGGCGGTCTGGCAATGGAGTCCATCCGCTGCGGGATGGGATACTGAGATCGACTGGAGTACGGAGGAATTGGAGGATTGCGAGGCGGTGGCATGGAGCCATTAGGCTGCCACCGCGGATCGTGGTATCCCGATTCGGGGCCAGGCCCATAGCTGTGATGTGCCTGTCTCATCGGTGGAGGATGGCCACGCGAAGGCATGTAGACTTCCGGCGAGTGGCCGGTCATCGTGTGTGCCCGTTCCTGGTGGAACTGAGGGGTCTGGGAGGTCATCGTCTGCGAGCGACCAGGAGGCGGGGCGCCTCCAAATATTTCCGAGAAGGCGGCATCGCGTTGAAAGGAAGAGGCATGGCCGTATGGGTTGGGTCGAGGGTTCCGGCCTTGCTGGGAACCGTAATCCGCCATTATCCGTTTAAAAGGTGATGGTTACGGGCAGCAAAGCGGAGGGGGAGGTATGGTCTGGGAAGAGAGGTACTGCGAAGTGGATTCGAATCACTTGTTGTGACTGTGTCGACTGTACACCAACAGTAGACGGACCTTGAAGCGTGACAGAGGCCAGCTTTAGTTAGCGTGAATGTCAGCAGTTCGCTGGGGTGTCATGCTTCGGATACCCAATGTTTGTGGAGGTAGCTATTTCGTACGCTTATAATCAGGTCGTGGAGACAGTCCGGTTTGAAAAAAGAAAAGAAAACAAAATATATTAAATAAAAGAACTCCACGAATGCCCAAAAAGAACGGAAGCAGTAAAAATATACAACTCGGGTCCAAGGGAAGACGGGAGAGGTGTTTTGGAAGGGGGAGGGGGATCATAGCCCGAAAGTCCACATCTTCAATGGCAGCAAACGTTTCTCGAAAGGAACCGGGGTTTGAAAAATTGAGACCCTCGCCCGACCAAAAGAGCGGAGCTAAAACAACGCAGAGAGAAGAGAAGGGAAAACAACAAGCAAAAACACGCGAAGGATCGAAGGCAAAGGGGAGCGGAAGGGTTTGATTGAAGGAGGATGACAGGGTCCTTGGGGGAGAGAGAGAGAGTTGTTGTCGAGCCAGTTGGTTGAACAGGCGCACGGCTTGCGATTCAATTGGTGAGGAGACCTCTCCTCCCACGTCCGCAACCGGCTTAGCGCGGCTTTGGGGCGGAGGCTGCCCGTGGCGGTGCATCTTAGTATTTCCGGCGGTCAGCCAATCAACGGCCGAGAAATCAAAACTCCAGCCAATGGGAAAGCCGCGCCCACGGCACTTATCCACTTTTGTTCTCCATCCAACAGCCCTTCATAGCCACTTGTGGCTTGTTTGACTTGGCAAATTAGTAAGCTAAACATTCATAAATCACGTGATATGTGGCTTTTCGTCCCGATTCCCCCGATCGGCGCCTGCCCTTCTGTTTTGCTGTTTCCAACCTTGCTCCTTTTGCCGTTTTTGTTTTGGCAGTCGGAATGTGCCCTGGCCAATACATACTACCTGATTAGGCACTCTCTCCCTGCCCGTCCTTGCTCACGTGTCCTGCCCTCACACACTTTTATATATACGTTTCTCTCTCTGTGTCGAGAGCAACCTCCCTGTCGAAGCTGGTCGGTCCAGAACAACCACCACCATGGCTGAGAGCGAGCTTACACCCAAGTTCGCTCCGTTCTTCGGAATGGTTTGTCTGAGCCGCCCCGCATTCAAAGCTACCACAGCTGATAATGGCAAATAATAGGCAGGCATAGCGTCAGCGGTGGGTTGACCATTTTCTCCCCCCGGCCACCGTCATCATTACCTGCCTATAGATACATGCATGCATACCGGTTTACATACTCGATTGCCCCTGCTGACAATGCTCGCAGATGATATTCGGATGTACGTCCTCGTCGGAAACCCCACCGCTTGGTCTCATGTCTTCTGCTCACGCGCTTATGATAATACAGCGTTAGGAGCCGCATATGGCACCGCGAAGGCCGGCATTGGAATTGCGAATGTTGGCACATTTCGCCCGGATCTTATCATGAAGGTGAGTGTGCCCACGGTCGCCTTCACGGCAGCATGCGAGATGGCTGACATTGACTCATTCGACAGTCGCTTGTACCAGTTGTCATGGCTGGTATTATCGCGGTTTACGGACTGGTCGTCGCCGTTCTAATAGCTGGTGACATTGGAACCCCAGCACAAAATTACAGTTTATACGCGTGCGTTCTCGGAGCCCTCCGCCTTCTACCGTCCCTCATAGGAACTTCAGCTAATACAACGCCCAAAATAGCGGATTTGTACATCTTGCGGCGGGACTGTCCGTTGGCCTTGCAGGACTTGCGGCCGGCTACACCATCGGGATAGTCGGAGATGCGGTACGCCCCAAAAAAAAAAAAAAAAAAAAAAAAATACTGACAAACGTGCGTGCGGGAGTCAATGCTAAAAGAGACAATTTAGGGAACACGAGCCTTCATGCAGCAGTCGCGTGTATTCGTGGGCATGGTGCTGATCCTGATTTTCGGTGAAGTTTTGGGTCTCTATGGGTGCGTTTCACACGCTCGTTGGAACCCCGCGTATCGATAGCCTGGCTGACATTTAGCTTGATGAAATCCAGTCTCATTGTCGCATTGATCCTCAATTCGAAGCGTTGAGGTTTGAGCACGTTCCCAGCAATTTTTAAATACTCTTCTTAGCATCCTTTTCCTTTTTTTTTTTTTTTTTTCCTGCCCTTCTCTGCGGGATATATGCACAATTCCATCATTTCCTCGATGTACATTTTCGGCGCCTTAGCGGTTGATCCTATTTGGAAGGCCTTTTCATTTGTGGTTCCTTTGTCTTTCTTGGGATTCTGAGTTTAATCTGGCGAGCTGGAGCAATTCAAGTGATAGACGTAATTCTTGACATGTATCCAACAAGGTTTCAAGTTTGCTTGAAGGCTTAAATCAAGGGGTCTTGTTCAAGGAGCTGATCATTCCCATCAGGAACCCCGGGGCACCGGGCGAAGACCTGGCGTTGGATTGACTTCATCTCGGCTGTTTCTTGTCAGTGTTCTGGCTGCTACCGCCGGGTCGCAGCTCCAGCCCAAATCTTGGCGTAGCGAGAGAAGGGAGAAAAAGCTTCCGCCCTCAAACACCCAGCCCCGCCTACGTCAGACAACTCGATAAGCTCAGAGTCAACATCCGCTGGAAAAAGTCACTAGCTACTTCATCCCAGAACCACCTCTTCCCGGCTCTCTCCCTTCCCTCTCCCTACTCTCCAAATAGAGTACCCGAGCAATGTATCCTTACCTCCACGCCTATTTCACGAAGTCAATGGCGGTAACGCGCTCTCTCAGGTCTACCAGTCTTCGCTCTTGTCACGCTTCTGAACCCCAGTGAGCCAAATAGACACTTCTCATTTAAACCCCTCGGAGCTTGTTCTTGAGATCGGTCCCGGAGCTCAGGGATGCGCCCCATATAAGGTGGGAGGTCTAGCTGGGATACGACATCGACGGAAGACGCCTAGACGCGTCTCGCATTCCATTTTTCCCTGATGGCGATGGAGACGATCCGGCAGCCGCAGGAGCAATTACCCAAGCCGCCACCGGTCCGGTGCCGGCCGGAGATAGATTGCGAACCCCAAGACATCGACACCAAGAAACTCGGGTTCCCGCCCTGGCCTTCCTCAAGGCCCAAGACGCCGCAGGATATCGTTGAGAATCGAGAGCACATCAAGGAGCGACTGCCTAAACACAAATTGAAGGTTGAAGATTTCGAATTACTGAAGACGCTGGGGACCGGTGCGTAACTAATCAGCCTTTATCATATGCGGTCGTGCTACATAACATCATGTATGCATGTGTGATTTGGTTGACATGGTGCTTATTGATATGACGTTGACCCAGGCACGTTTGCGCGAGTATGGCTCGTTCGGCTCAAGAATGTAAAGGACAAGAACAACTCAATTTTCGCACTAAAGGTCCTTCGCAAAGCTGATGGTGTGTACTCGCCGATTGCGACCTTATACCCTGTATAAACCTCTATTAACGGTGATATCCTTCTCCCTAGTCATCGAACTCAAACAAGTGGAACATGTCCGTAATGAGAACAATGCTCTTCACGCTGTTGCTGGACATCCGTTCATCACAACTCTAATTGCCTCTTTCTCCGACGACCAATGCCTCTACATGCTAGTACGTGTGATACCTTGATTTAGCTCCTTTTTTTCCATCCGAATATTGCGGCTAGGCGCAATTTTCCGTTATGCTTTCATCAGTAGTTACTTCACACTTTCTGTCGTTGTCGAGGCGCTGACTGGACCACAGTTAGACTATTGCCCCGGCGGTGAAATATTCAGCTTCTTGCGTCGCATACGACGATTCAACGAGCCCACCGCTAAATTCTACGCTGCCGAAATAGTATTAATCCTTGAATACCTCCACGACGTACAGGGCGTTGCATATCGTGACCTAAAACCAGAGAACATCCTTCTTGACGCTGAGGGGCACCTCAAACTAGTTGATTTCGGTTTCGCGAAGCAACTCTATAGTCATGAGACATATACCCTCTGTGGAACACCCGAATATCTCGCGCCGGAAGTCATACACAACAGTGGCCATGGCCTGGCAGTTGACTGGTGGGCACTAGGAATTCTGATATATGAATTCTTAGTAGGACAACCTCCCTTCTGGGATCCAAACCCTTTGCGGATATATGAGCAGATCGTCGAGGGCCGCCTGCGCTTCCCGTCTCACGTAACACCAGAAGCACGGGACATAATAAGTGCGCTATGCAAGACCAATCCGTCCGAAAGATTGGGGTACATATCGGGTGGAACAAAACGGGTGAAGGAGCACCCGTTCTTCAAAGGAATAAACTGGGACGATCTGTATCATCGACGGATACCAGGGCCAATAATACCACGTGTTGATCATCCGGCCGACGCAGGGAATTTCGAGGAGTATCCGCCTCCACCAGATCCAAGTACGCAAACTGTATATACGGAAGAGATGAAAAAGAAGTATGAGGCCTGTTTTAAGGACTTCAACGATTAAATCTGTCATTTCTCTGTCGATCAGTTCTCTGGCGCTTGCCGCCCGGCCCATCCCCTAGCGACCCTAGCCGACCTCCCGGGGATGATTATTTCGCCTTATCCGAATTTGCCAACGCTTTCCCTACCCCGGACTCCCGGATCTTCGTAATCCATCCCATGTACTCCGCACAACTCCCCCTCCGCGCGCGACAATTCAAAACGCGCCTCTCATCCCACTGTTAAACTGCGTATTGTCGGACTGTTCTTCAAAGATCTGCGCTCACCTGTAACTTCCTATCACCATACATTCCTACCCTGAAAAAAACTAGCCGAACGGAAGGGGGAAAAAAAAAAAAAAAAAGGAAGGCTTTTCACCTGTGATCCTTTCTCCTCTGGCGGATCGTTGCTTGGCGTATCTAGCAGATGTTCATGGGGCATATCATGTGGATGTATTGTACACACATATATGTAGCATAGCAATAGCACACAAACATCTTATGGACAGAACGGATGATATCAATGCATGTGCAGTACAACCCTCCATCCTCTTCTCAATCCCGTTCTCGCGGCACACTTGTTGATCTGGGACGGCTCAGGGCAGATGAGCGACAAGGATGCAAAGCCGATCCAAGGACTATCAATTTGACCCGCTGCACGGATTATGAGCATGTAACAACCTTTCCGTTTACTCCATATTCGCCTGCTACCCTCTCTTCTTATGTAGATACTATTACACATGTATGCCAATGCCGTGGTCCCAAGACGCAAGAACAAAAACAGTAATGCACTCCGTAGCATGATCAAACAACGGAAGAAAAAAAAAATTTTATGATATGACATCGGGAAACATAAAATTTCAAGATACGCCGCCCCGCCAGCCATTCGCCCATCCTTTTAATATACTGTAAACAATAACACATGCAGACCCTTGAGCGCGAACCAAGAGACAATGAAAAAGAAGAAGCTTTATATCCGCCCAATTTGCCTGGAGGGTCCATGCATACAAAATACGTCGGCAGGAAATATAGCCACGTGAATGAAGGTAAATGCAGGAACAAGATAGATAATCCGTAGTAGTCAAGAATATGCACCCCGCCGATGTGGCGCTAAAGAAAGACCAACATCTTAAAATGGTTAGATTTCGCGATATTCTTTATTTTCTTCCCATTGCACCAGGCATAAAGGAAAATGCAAAAAGGAGAGCCCGCGAATGAAGCTAATGCGAACGGATTTGATGAAGCATTGAAGCGTTGATGAGGAAGGTGATGCTGATGATATGGAGAAAACCGATGCAGAAAAGGCGAAGGTTTGCGGATGGATCGAAGGATCAAGACACGATGTCAGCAAACTTCGAGAATATGCGCGCCAGGAGGCGGCTCTCGTGAGTCGTCGTCATGACTTATTTGGATACGTGATAAGGTGAAGGGTGTATCCCGGTCGCTGCCTCGCCAGGGGTAGCGAGTGGGGCCACCATGACTGGGGGATGCGATCTTAGAAGTTTGCCCCGAATCTTGGATCGACGGGTTGTTGAACAGATCGCAAAAAGAGATTTTTGCCACCAATTCAAGAGCAGCGGAAAGAGACCTGTTTTGCTTAGCTTCGGCGTGGGGGAAATTTTGGGCCATGGCCGAGCGCAGTGGGGGCTTAACACGGAAAAATGCTCATTCATTTCAAGATGAAAGTTATGCTTTGGGCGTTTTCCATGCTCCTATTCCAAAGATCAGCAATTAATTGAAACGAGAACGTAACGACAGACCGAGAAGAACAGTGTAGAGAGTACCTTGGAAGTTATGCTTAACGAATGCCATCGGGTGCTCAGGCTCTTCGGCACCCATCTGTCGAACGCCGGGACTGAAGCTGGTAATCGGCAAGACGATGACATCGCCAACGGCCTTTTGGGCGACCATGCCGGTAAAATGCTTGTAGCCAATCTCGCTGGTGGAGTTGCCATCTCTCCTCCCCATGTCAAAGTAGTTCGGGTTATTGAAATAGCGGAAAATCGAGTCTGTCCATACGGCCGGCCCAGTGAATTCGACAATAGTTTTGTCCATCTTGTTCTTTTTAAGCTTCCCCTCGCTCTTCATCCGCAGTGCTTCCTCCGTGATGTTTGCCACAACATCCCGCAATATCGGGTGTCCCGGCTTTGACTGGATGGTCCACTGACAGAATTGGATCCTGCGTGAATACCAGGTCTGCCAGTCCTTCCTGTCTGGGTCCGCCTCGATGCCAATAATAAGACCTATCGTAGTTCTGTCGACAGCAGCAGGCACCCATTCAGTTGCGGGCTTCAGAGCGAAGGTGTCGATGTCGCTGTATATCCCACCACGGGCCAAGAGGATAAGGTATCGGAAGTAGTCCGCCTTCAGCACGGGTAGCGGCATCGACTCAAAGGCCTCTATGATTTCCGGGAAAGCAGCGTAGAGGTATTTCACCACGTAGATCAACCCATCGTCCGTGATCACCTGGTGGACGAATCCTGGGTGGTGTTCAGTCCAGCTAGCTTCGAACGGGCGTAGCTCTTCCTTGAACTTCCCGGAAGCTGGGGTGTACTTCCACGTCTGCCAGATGTAGGCCGGGAACTTCGATTGTATGTCGTAAGGGAACTGGTATCGGAGTCGTTCACGGAGAGGTTTTCGGGCCAAGTCTTCGAGAGGAATCTGCTGGGGCTGAAACTGGAGCGAACCGTCCACGCTTGACAGCTTATCTTCAGGGCCAGCGTTCGATCCTTCGGGTTGTCGAGTGCTGCCGCCGCTGCCGGACAGGTGGAGGATGTACATGAAAGCGAGGAAGGTGGCCGCAATGATCAGGCATCTTCGAAAGGAGATCATGACGGCAGCTTACGTGTATGGATGGGAAGCTTCGGAACAATCGAGAGTCATCAGTCCGCACTGTTAGAAGAGTCAAAGAGGATCAGCGTCATGGAGAAGGAAAAGGTGCACGGCGAGGAGATCTGAAAAAGGGCCTCGAGTGCGTTGGCGGTGGCTAAAGTGCGTTGGTGAGTCGGGGGGGTGTTTAAAAAAGGGCGCATAGCATTCAATGGAACCAAGGTACCTCTCTCGGGATCCGCAACTTCGGAGGACACAACCTTATTGTCCGTTCATATCTACGGGCTCGAAGAAAGATTTTAAAAGACGGTCTGGCGTCGGATGGAGTCGAGAATACCTTGGAAGCTCCAAAAAATTTGAGGCCGGTCTCAGTCGGCTCTTTGAGAAACTCCTAGAGTTCCCACTTGGCGAAGGCAAGCGACGAAGACTTGATCACAGGGAGAGCGGTCCTGAAATCCCTGGGGCGGGGATGCGTACGTCTGCTCCGCGTGTTTGGCGTCCTGTCAGCCTGTCAGGGAAACGCATCATCCAACGGATCCAGTGGCTGATAATTAGCCCGTCCGCTTTTGATATTTAGCCAACGCGAAGATGTGCCCGGCCAGGGGGGAACAAGAGATCCTGCTCGGGATCTCCACCGCTCTCTGACGAATCCCTGGTGACATCCGATTGATCGACTGTCGTCGTCATACTTGTGTTTGAAGCCAACCAGCAGATCACTTTTGAAACGCCCGTGCTGGCTCGTCCAAGAAGCCAATTTGTTCTCTCGTCTTCCTTGCATCGACTGCCAGATCGGTCCATCTTGAGACTTCCGTAAACCCCCAAGCTCCCTTCTCCCAAATGCGCTGCAAGGCTGAAGTCGAGGCCCAGACTCGCCCAGAGATTTAAAAATACTAGAGCTATCTCACTGTCGGGTGGTTGAAACCCCTTCCAGTGATAGGATGCGCAACCCTGCTGGATTGTCCGACACTCGGGACCACCCATGCTCTTTAGCTCGTAACTAAGCCCGTTCTCCCCTTTCAGGGTCCGCTCAAAAGAGCGACTAGGGTGCTATTAACTAAGAGTAACATTTCTGCCGCGGCGAAACACGAACCCATACAACTACCTTAATCCGGCCTTGCAACCCAATCCGGAATGCTCTCGCAGGACGGATTGGCGTCAAGTATTCAGCTTTTGTTCCGAAATCAACAGCCTGCAAGCCCGTTCTCGACATGGGTGTCACACGCCTGAGAAGAATGCTATACTGATGACGACGACATGTCCGTCAAACTCCTCATGTAACAGAGCTGCTTTTTAACTCCTCAAGTTGGAAAATACAATGTCAGTTTGGTTTAAAAAAAAAAAAAAAAAAAAAAAAAAGAGAAAGAAAAATTTTTTTTCCTACCCTTTGGAGCAGTTTTGCTGTTAGTGCTCGCTACGGGCCAGGCATCATACTCTCTCTTGGACAACGCTTAAAGTTTACTTGAATCTGCTGTCCTTCCAGACCTTTTAAATCACGCTGAGATGCATGATTATTTCATTGGTCTCGGATGAGGATATTTTTTTTTTAAGGCAATTTCTGTTGTGGTTGATGCCGACTGTACTGAAGAAGATCTAGTGGATGAGCAGTTGATCCAACTTGGCCAGCCTTCACACCTTGTTGTTTCCAAGCTGCGTTCCCTTCACACCACAAGTCCTGAATGAATCATGGACACCTAGATTGCATACTCATCCTGATATGGGTTGACTCAGATTATCTTGAAACTGCTGCTCCGACGTTCTGACTTGACAGACTACTGAGTGAGGAGTGAAGATGGCAGGCTCAGATACGTTCTCGGCTACTGGAATGTCAAGGGACAACATGGCCAGCAGGCAAATCCATCGAACTTACTACGCGATTGAGGGTACACTGCCGCCTACCCAGGCTCCTTAAGAGAAGCCAATGGGTGGTTTTTAACACGATCTCACTTGGTTCATAATACTTACCCCCTAAGCGGGAGCTTCTTGTCCTTGATAGTGGAGCGACCAACTGCCTAGCCAACCGCGAGCTCAATTTCAACCTCGTCGGTAAACAAATAAGTAAGGTAGTCCTGATAACACAAAGACTGAAAGAAATGTTTACTCGAAAAACGGTGAAGCGTTAGTCCTCTTAGCTCCCGGCCCATTTCAACATTTAACAACTCTAGAGAACCACAAAATGAAACAGTCTGTATCTCATGTAAAGGTAGAGGAAATATTTTGAGCCCTTAACTGCCCTCATCCGGCGTTGTGGCCATTCGACGGGAGCTGGCGTCCGGCGGGTGTGGGGGAGAGGGAGAAGTCTAAAATTTCCCAAACTGCAACGTCGAAACAGCTACTTACCCAACCCAAAGTCGATCTCCGCGTAGCTACATGCCGGACTTCACTCTTTGCCCAAATCCCACGAATCTTTACTGGTAGCACTTCGAATCATCCCACTGACCGGATGAGTGACGTTTTACATGTATAATTGACAATCCCATCTTGTCTCCTGATAAATAATCCTCCTGCCCTTTTCAGCCCGCAATCATGGTAAGTGTCCACTCCACAACGCGCCTCGCCTTTGCCAGCGCTCTCTCACAAGCCGCTCTCTCTTCCCAGGCCCGCAATAGCGAAAAAGCACAGTCGATGCTTTTCCGCTTTCGCGCCGCCCAAGCTGCCGACCTCGGAATCCTCGACATCGGCCGAACCCGCCGCCCCAAGGCCATCACATCTGTCGACTCCATACCCATCTGCGAGAAATGGCGCGGCCAAGTTCTCAAAGAGATCTCGCGCAAAGTCACGCGCATCCAGGACCAGAGTCTGAGTGACTACCAGATTCGCGATCTGAACGATGAGATCAACAAGCTGATGCGAGAGAAGTGGATGTGGGAGGTGCAGATAAGGAATCTGGGTGGTCCCAACTATACGCGTGGAGGTGGGAGGGTGTATGATGAAGATGGGAGAGAGATACCTGGTGGTGGGAAGGGTTATAGATATTTTGGGAGAGCGAGGGAGTTACCCGGTGTGAAGGAGATGTTTGAGGCTGCGGCGAGGAAGAGAAGTGCGGACGAGTTGGAGGACTCGGGTGGAGGGCAGAATGAGATGTTAAGGAAGCATGTCGACGCTGCGTATTTCGGATATGGGTTGGATGAGGAAGATGGTACGCTGCTCGCATACGAGGTTAAGAAGGAGAAGGAGGCGTTTGAAAATATGTTGAAAAGAGGGGACGGCCCCGTCGATGATGGTTGGCAGCCTCTCCCTGGGGATGGGGGCGATGGCGTCGAATGGAGAGTGCCTACACTGGACGAGGTCCAGGTAGAGTTGGTGGACAGACGAAGACGAAAGTTACTGGATAAAATCCTTTGACACATTTGATATTCTGGGGCTTTGGATCTGTGATGATTCCCTTTGGCTTTCTGCATGGTTTGCGGATGGAGTTGGGCATCTTTTTCTTGTTCGCTATGACCTGTCTATTATACAATTTTCATAATTCATCAATGTATTTTTACACCACATAAAATTTCCAAAGAAAACAGTAATGGGTATATATATAAAACAATAGTGAGAAAGTAGATCAAAAGGATCGCGTCACAATGGAGGTTATATCACACTCATAGTGGAAGTCGGCTGCTCCTCCGTGTCGATTTTGTCGTCCGCAAACATCTCCTTGAAAGTTTCCTGCCACTCTCGTCGCTTGACTGTGGTAATGGACAATACATCATCCATTACAAAGTATTTGAATTTCCCTTCTCGCCACATATGATTGAATTTTCGGGACGCCATATTGATATCGGGCACGCCCCCCTTCGCCAAGCAGCCAGACTTCAAAGCGAATGCATTGAGCAACTCCATGATATCATTCGTGGGCTCGCAGTATTTCCGGTATGCATATGGTTTGTTCTTGTTAATATGGTATAGGAGGTAATCCGAAATTGTGAGATCGGAGACCAGGGACCTCTTGATAATCCCACACGTTGCGAGCTTGACCATGCTCTCCGGCTCGGCAACGTATGGGACGAAGACACCAGGGGTGTCATATACATACATCCCGCACTGTTTCCTGTTAAGGACCTTAATAGGACTGCCGACCTTTCTTGTAACTCCCGGCTCATCGCCAGTGCTGGCAGCTTTCGACATGGACGGCAGGTCCATGCATTGTTGTCGAAGGTAATTGATAAATGAGGACTTTCCAACATTCGGCATCCCCACAACCAACATCCTATAGCCGGTCACCTGGTCTTGCGCGAGAGGTATTGTCCGAAGGTATTTAATGAAGGGCGCCATGGAGCTTTTCGAAAACTTGTCAACGACAAACACTTTCGACGTTCGCTTATCCCAGCGAAGAACCTGGCTCTCTATCTGTAAAGGACAGAGCAAGAAAAACATTCAATGCATTAGCCGCGCCAGTCCTTTATTCTCAAAAAAAAAAAAAAAAAAAAAAAAAAAAAAAAAAAAAAAAAAAGAAGAAAAAAGAAAGAAAAAGCATGCTGCCGCAAGACACCTTTTGCATCGCAAGTTTCCGGTCCCCGGCCAGATCTCGTTTTGTATAGATTATCGTCCGCTTCTTATCCCCTAATACATGTTCAAAGAGCGGATTTATTGAAGTAAACGGTATCCGAAAGTCACGGCACTCAATGACATGGTCGATCGAGTCTAGCATGGAGCGCATTCTCCTGAGGCCGGCTCGGTGATGACCTAGGAAGTAGGAGCGCGGAATATTCTCCGACACGTTGAAGACCTGACGAGGGACGAAAGTCGACCCCATCTTTGGAAGCTAACCAACACAATCTTTAGTAATAATAAAAAAAAAAAAAAAAAAAAAAAAAAGAAAAGGGAAAATGCAAAGAATGGACCTTATCCGTGGCTTAAACGACTTTGTCGTCGCTGCCGTTGTTCAAAAAAAGTTGCTTGATACCCGGATAATAATATCCCCGAAGACGGCAGAAAAGAGCGGTCAAAGCTCGGCAGATCCACTGCGCCGCTCTAGCAGCCGACGCCCGCAGGCTTGGCAGATCTCTCCGCCACAAAAAATACCTGCTCCACCTAGTTCTGAGTACGGAGTATATCTAAGCGGATAACTATTCTATACGTCCCTCTGCTACAGATTCCCCGGGGCAGAGATATCTCTTTCAACTTCAGCTTTAACTAATAGGGGGTATTTCGACTCCCTTATATTTCGCATGTGGCAGAGAACTAAAAAGCAAGAAGAGCACGGCGGACGTTGTGCAAAAATATTGGTCTTATTATTAGTAGTACAGCGAGGGAACAGTCCCTAATACTCCCATATCGCTTAAGGTGAGGAGGACTGCACAGCGGATGCAGCACTGTAATGCTTGAAAACTTCTGCTTCTGGGTAAGATAGCGCGAGAAAAAGGGGAATCGGACAGGCATCCATCTTCCGGACAGACTAGATTACAGGGCATTGTAAAATTAGAGGCCAGTGCGCTTAAAGCCTTAGGAGTAAGTTCACTTGACCACATGGATAAAGACGTAGAATCTAAGTCGTTAGGTCTGGTCATAACTTTCATGGCGGCATAGAATGATATGGGGGAACTCCATCAAGCTCTCCACCCCTGGACCAAATCGTGTATCCGGTCAATAACAGCCCCAAAGATCGCATTAACACTTTCGATAATCAACTGTTCAAAATGGCGAATTGCCTCTTCCTCGCTCATTTCAAGGTGGAATCGCTCCTTGACTTTTAACACCGCTTTGTCAGGCTCAACGCGGATATCGGGGATATTTGCGTCGACCATCAGACTGAACAAGTTAAGAATGAGATTTGCCGATTTGCGCAGGGTGGTATACGCCGTGAAGCAGTATTGCTTGAATTGCAAGTAATTAGGCGAGTTTGCCCCGCCCATTCCTTCTATCATTTCCTTGGAAAGTTTCATCATCGGAGCGAAGGGTTTAGGGTCACGACCCAGGATAAACCCGAAATCGGCGTGGAAGAAGTGCCCGTCTGGGGCAAGGAGAAGATTCTCCAGGTGACGGTCGCCAACACCCAATAGGTAAGTAATAACGCAGTATCCAGCGCAAGACTTGATATATGTATCCATTGCTTCCTTGCGGACACCCAAGGGCTCACTATCGTCTGGGTTATTTGCCCTTAAGAAGGCAAGAATTGAACCTTTGTACTTTGCCGAAGCTGCAGAAAGGGAAGTGGATGGGACAAACTGCATGGCGCCGGCATTCGCGCTGGTAGCGAGGACCCTGTAAGGTGTGAGTTTGAGGTCCAAATTCTCCTTTTTTAGCAACTGGTCCATAAGACTGATGATCTGGATGACAAGCTGATCCTGCCGAAGGTCGTCCCCAACTTTGAATATGACAGGGTACTTTCGTCCATCAGACAGCTTGAAATTAATTAGTAAAGGAGAAAGTGATGATTTAAAGACATTGGCCGCGTCCGGGAAGCATCCAATGATTCGGACTTCGGGGTCCAACGGAAGCGGCAGTGATGGATCAATCTGTACAATCTCATTTTTAGGATCTGCCAGGCATCTCTTCAGCTGCTCAATCTTAGCGGTGCGGTTAACCTTGGAAAAGCGAATATCCTTAGCAATCTTGGAAAGGACGGTGATGAGTTCGCCTTGTCTCAACAGCGTCTTTCGTTCGTCAGGATTGACCCTTTCTAACTCGACCATGAAGTAATATTCCACTCGCGCGAAAAGCTCACGGTGAGCGGAGGAATTGCCTGTATTATCATCACATTCAACCATTAGGTACCAGTGGAGGTAACTTCCTAGCAAAACGTTTTGGGCCGCCCGGGTAATCAAAAAGTTAGTCAGAGACGAATCCTGCGCAGGATCATCATCTGTATGTTGTGAGACGGCTTCGTATTTCAGGGCCTGCACGAGTTGCAGGAGATAGAGTAGCAGCTCTTCGTCATCGGACTTTCTCAGGCGTTCAACCGCGTAAGCCCGAACAGCCGGGTTATCGAATGTTGGGCCAAGCAGCTCTAAAGCGTCATCGACGTCAATCTCCGTCCATTTTGGAAGAATTTCAACTGCCTGTCGTGCCTCATTGGCATCTTGCCAGTTGACAGACTTGACAAATTTAGTGAGTGCTCTCTTTTCACGAGTGAGATAGTATCTGAATTTCCAGACGAGATCTTTTTCCTCTGCGTTCAACTCCTGGGTGGGTCCGTAGGACATGATATCGTTCAACTCGTCGCGAATCTTTGGATTGGGCTTGAGATCGCGGTCCATAATCCCAGTCCGGTGGCTACGGACTAATCTGCGATGCTTGTCCTCGCAAGGATTCCCTTTCTGTCCAACTTCGGGGTCATATACCTTAATAATTGGATAATCCTCGTCATCGGAAGCGCCTTCAATACCTGGTCCAAAACGCACCTCAGGCGGCGGGCGAAGTGTCTGGCTCATCGAGGGGTTATGCTGAGAGAAGGAGGAAATAGGCGGTGCTGGATATTGAAAATCTTGGAAAACAATGGGGAAGTCATAGCGCGGGAATTCGATGTAGAGCACAAAATTCTGGTCGTCTATGGTGTCATCCTCCATGCCATTACTCTCCCCGTTTGTCTCAGCTAAGAATTTCTCTCGAGAGACTTTATTTCTTAAGGCGCGTTTTTTTGCAGCTTCTTCCGCTTCCAATTTCTTTTTTTCAACGGCTCGGAACACGAGCTGATCCAGCCAGTCAACCCGCTGAATCTCTCCCATTTCGTGTTTCTTAAGGAGCTTTTCGAGACGTTCTAATTCCAACTCCTCGGGTGTGGGGCCCTCTTCAACAAACTGCCCAGTCCGACGCTTCGGAGCAGGAGTGCTTGGAGTCATGGTAGCCGAGTATCCATCTGCAGCTTTGTGCCTGTAGATCTTGCACTTTTGCTTTCCCTTCTTCAAGGTTCCATCCTCTTCGAAAATGGGGATTGTCGTGCCGCCAAAGGGAGTTGAATGGCCGTGGAATGAATCCTCCCCCATTGGATCAAGGTCCCAAATAGTGATGCCTAACTGAGCATTCTGCGGGGCATCCTTAATCAGGAACGGCATTTGTAACCATTCATTCCATGTGCGACTGGTCTTAAAGGACTTGTAGGAGGTTTGCATAGGAACACCCAACGGCTTGCAGCTCGACCATAGCTGCACTGTAATGTAGAGGTCGGAAACCGGGCTCTGGTTCGATCCAAGGTGTCGAAGCTTTTCGTTCCGGAGCAGTTGGGAAAAGGGTATCTGTTTCTGTCTTCCTTCTAGATTACATCTAGAAATAATCATTAGTAGCCGCAAAGGAGAGGAAACTTGGGCCTCAACCACACAAATGCTTTGGCTTACATTTTGACGCGTATCGGCAGAGCTACCTGAGCAGAAGTCGCGAAAGTGAATGTCTCCATCTTCTAAACCACTTCCCAATCTTCAGGTGTCACAGAATTAGCAAGGTGCTTTCCATACTCACTCCTAGCATTATTAGCGGAATTAGCCTGGATTGGGGATTTCTCTTTGTGATATCTCTGATCCACTGCCCGTGCCTATTTACCACTCTTGTCTGCAGGGTTCAAGGCGTTCTTCTCACGGCAAATCCAAGCAACAGGAGTGATGTCAATGTCACTCTTGGACGACCCAGCGGATTGGCTCCTCTCAGGCTTGGCGTTCACACTGGGAGAAGCGCTAGGGCTTTTTGCTTCCACAAGCCCTAACAGCGGCTCTAGTGACGGAACTATGTAAATCCGGGGTATGCGCACGGACCACCGCGTGTCTGTCAAGAAAGCCAATTCAATTAGGCCAAGCGGTGAGGTAATGAAATGTCAATGCAATCTCTCACGGCAGTTGTGCAGAGGGCTTAAAGGCTGTGGATGTGAATTCTTGTGCACTGGTAATATTTACTACTTGTTCCAACTTTCTTTCAGTCTGGGAAATACCGGCGTGTTTGCTCAGTTCGTAACAACAAAATTCGAAGACCCCCCACGGACAGCAATCCAACTCCCCCGGGGCCTTGAACTCGGGGGTATCTCTGAAAGATAAAGAGCAATGGCTGATACTACTGCAGCTGATAGTGGTTCAGATCTGTCGTCGACTCCTCCAGGCTCTAATGCCGTATCGCCGTCAAACTCTTTCTCCTCAGACAAGGAAAACGGTGCCTCACCTGGCGCGTCGCGCATAGAGAAGCGGAAGCAAGGGAACTGGCAGGCCCAGTCATCAAATGCGCGGTCGGATATGGGTGACACGTCAAATAAGAGACGGAGGATTTCTGGAAAAGATCCTGGTGGGGATGGCCACGCTGCACACAGGCGCGCGTTGGCCCTAGTCAATGATACAAATTACTATGACCCAGAGCAAGACCCTGAAGAAAGAAGGGCAGTCCGTAAGGGCTTAAGAGACCTTGCAACGAAATTAAACGGTAGTGACCCTTGGCGCTTCGGCCTCTTTTAATAAGTATTGATACGCTAACACTTGGTAGATTCGCGCTCCGAGTTCATCCAAGCTGGATCCAATGGCATCCGGGAAACCATTATAAAAGCCAATGAACTGTTCAAGCAAGTGAAGCAAACATCAGATGCAACGATAGATTCTCGTCTTTTGGTAAACGCCGCCGATTTATCGTACAAGCGAACCGCTCAGGCCATTTTAGGAGACTCGGATTCAGGCATCGATGTGGAGGAGTTTGTGTCAAAATGTATATCGTTTATGCGTGCAATGCCAGTGGGAGAGGGATCACCTAGTCAAATCTTGAGCTCGCAGCGCCAACCTCATGGTAGGAATACTGAAGACAGCGACGACGATGATGACGCTCTTAACTGGGACGTATTGGGTCGACAAGCTTGCTTTCCCCATAATAAGCGCCCTCCACTCTCGGGGTTTTTATATGGTCCCTTATCTGTACAGAAGCGAGTCCGGCAGCAAACGCAACGAAGAGCAAGACAGGAAAGGATAGATCCTTCTCAGGCTATCCGACCACAACAACTCCAAGCAGAAGACCTTGGGCGGCAGGAGACTGCTAATTTGACAGCCATTTGCACTGAGATCCGGAAGATCCTGGTGAGCACGCAGCAGAGAGGAGAAAAGCTCGCCACCGACGTGCTCTCAAACATGCGTGAACCTTCACGAGATCAGATTCTGGAAGTCATGTATAAGTATAATATATCGGATGATGGCGGCGTCCCGCTCTTCAAATTTTGCATTAATCCTCGGTCCTTCGGGCAGACGGTTGAGAATCTATTCTATGTTAGCTTTTTGGTCAGAGATGGGAGTGTTGGAGTTGCTCTCGATGCTAGTGATCTCCCCACGCTACGTATGTTGGAACCTTTTGCACACCAACCTGTGTACCTCTGGACCATATTTTAAGCTGAGCTGACCACTGTTTCTTGCTAGATCCTTCCACACCGGCATTACCATCCGAGGCACAACGCAAGGGTCTTCAGAAACATCAGGCCGTTTTCAGCCTGGACTTTGAGACCTGGAGAAATTTAATTGAAGTATTTGACATCAAGAAACCATTGATTCCCCACAGAAATGAAGATGCAGAGTCGTCACAGGCAAACAGAGACATGCTTGTAGGTCATCATATTTAAGCATTACTTTTGGAGCTATGGCTGGGAGGCTATCTGATTCTTTGTCCGGAGTGTTTTTGACTTCAATTAAGCCTGCGAAGATTTAGAGATTATGTTTTTATTTTATTCACGATGCTGACGTATTGAACAAGCCTATTGTTGGCCATGTTCCATTGTGTTTGATTGAACCTGTATATATTACTTGCATAGTTCTATTTTGTAATTTACTCACAAAACCTCCTTCAAAGTGCGGTGAAGCGCTCTCCTAACAGATTCTCCTTCATCCAGCCTGCCTTTTTACATGTCATTAAGTAGTTTGCCCGTAGCCTTCAATCATCAGCCTTGGATATGTGAATGTGATCTAGTTTCCAATCTCTAGATGTTGTGGTGGGAGCAATAGGTATGAGAACATGCTGGGAATTTCACAGCCCAAAACTGGAGGTCAATGGATTTGATGTGGGTGCTGGCATCTTCAAAATCATCAATTATCACTGTTGGCACTTGGATAAACCTGTATGATATTATATCTGGATTTTGTGATAGAAGTGCTCCATACTCTGTCATCTTTTCACCCCATTCCTGGTCGCCAATGCGGGGAGCTGGTGATAATTCCTCACATGAACAACCAATCAGAAATCCAAAATAGGCAAATCCAAGGGGTTAAGCTTTATAACAATACTATTGCTCATGATGCCACAGGAGGCCAAACCATGTTATTTCGAATGTTGGGATCATAGAATCCAAAGCATGATCGCGGTCTGATGACAGACCTGGCCACATGTGCAATCTCGCCGCCCAACTCTGAGATGTATTGCATCACCTTGTGCCGTGTAGCTTTCAGCTTGTCAGCTGAAACCCTAAACTAGATACAATAATCGACATGTTCCAGTCTTGCTTGATTCGACTGTAATCCCTTTTTACCTTCTCGTAGGAGAATCGCAAAATCATTTCAGAAACGATAATAACCGTCGACTGTTCAGCTTTGGACCCAGACACTCAACATGTCTCCTGCACTCACACCGCAGCACCCAGAGGAGGTTATGGTGACCCGCGAGTTGGAGGGGCAAAATATTATTACATGTAGCTTGCCATTTTCGCGGTTCGGGCTTCTGAGAATTGGGGGTCGGGGCACGATCGGTGAGCTTTCCAAGGGAGAGCCTGTCTAAATATCTCGCTCACGCATATACTAACATCTCCACAGTTCGCATGGCGTCCGGTTCCAGCATCGTCTTCTCCCCCGTTGCGCTGACAGAGCACATCAAGGGGCTCATCACTGCTCTCAACTCCCCGATTAAGTACATCATCGCGCCGGATATAGAGCACCATATCTTCCTCAGCGACTGGAAAGAAGCCTACCCAGACGCAAAAGTCATCGGACCTCACGGCCTAAAGGAGAAAAGAGAAGCAAATCCCAAGACACGAGGTACCTCGCAAATTGATTACATATTCAAGCCGGAGAACCGGCACAATCCAGAGATCTTTGATGACTTCAACGCCGAGTTCGACACGGAATACATCCCAAGCCATCCAAACCGGGAGATTGTTGTTTTCCACAAACCAACCAAGACCTTGCTTCAAGCTGATCTGTTCTTTAATCTGCCCGCCACGCAGCAGTATGAAAAGGTGAAAGGTGGTGAACATCAAGGCATTTTGACAAAGATGTTTATGCCGGTTTCGACTACGAAAGGCGACGCAATTTGGCAAAAGAGGTTTCTTTGGTATATGATGGCCAAGAATCGGGATGAATGGAAGGAATCAGCAAGGATCATTGATGGGTGGGGATTTGAGAGGGTGATTCCTTGCCACGGCGATGTGATAGAGACGGGCGGGAAGATGGTGTTTCGTAAGGTGTTCGAGTGGTTTTTGGATGGGAGACAGTAATTGGAGTGGGTTAAGCAAGAGGCCGCATTGTGGCTTCCATGTGTCCTCTACCAAATGTATTATATGCATCTATACTTCATTCAGTACACATCTATGCAGCCTGTGGACATCCATCGCTCGTTTTAGCATTGGTGGAATTGATTTGTACTAATACCTCTCATAGTCAAAAGCCAGGATGAATAGTAGGGACAACCCAATCCGATTGTGGGACCCGGCCTGCCGTCATCATTGATATGCGCTTTGAACAAGACCAGCACATCCGACCACTTAATGACAGCAGGGCCCGGATTCCACGCCACCCATACTATGAATGTTCGCGTTCCAAGGAGCTCCTGGGTGGTGGTGAAAGGTTGGTTACGTCACTCCTCTCGTCGGAGCGGAATATCGTCGGCCGGCTCAAGCCACGGATGACGTCCATGCCGTACAGTCATGTGAGCATTTCGTCGAGAGTGTGGCTTGGTGTTCAACGGGTGAAAACGAGGAGGAAATGTGCAGCTTCGTGCGGAGTGCCGGGATGGACGGTCAACAGTCGGGTTGTCGACGGTGAATCTGTTATGAAGTAACTAATAATATTCATCTTCAGCTGCGCCGATTTCCGATAGTTTAATCATTATCTTCCCGGATGGATGGATACGGAGCAGTGCTCCAGACGACTTCTTATACATATTTCTCCATCACACTCCAAGAGCTTGTGATCCCTGTCTCAGAACTTCCCGCCGTCCTTTGGAGTTTACTTTGTTGCCACATGGATCCCTTCCTCTGGGCGCGTTGCGTTGTCAAGACTGACGATCAAGCCCACAATGGCCCTGATTGCTCCGAATTATCAAGCTATCGTGACTCCCGACAGCCCTATTGGTGGGGCCAGCAGGACAAGAAAAGGTAAATGGAACGCGGCGTCAAAACGGATGCGCCTGATGCGTCATCCCAAATTGCTTCGCTTGAATATCTTGTCCATTTTCGGGCCTCTCTTGATGAGAGAGCTTACGATGATCTGATGTTATAAAGCCAAGTTAAAAGGTCGGTTCCCGGCCATTTGTTTCCTCGTATTTCGATTGCTTCAAACTATCCCAAACGAGCGTCTTGTTTGATCTCATTACCATTCGTACTTCTGGAAATTACTTTATTGAGTATTCTAAAAAGAATACTAAGCTCACTGTGTAGTCGCATCAGCCTGTTCCATCGTCCTTTGTTTCGCTGCGGAAAGCTCACTTGGCACAAGCGATTACTGACGGGCGATATACACCTAAAAATCGAGTAATAGTTAGCTGATTGTCGTTTGACAACCCAACCTCCCTTTGAGGGCTTTGGTTGAATATGCCATTTCTATCTCGTGTTGTTTCTGTCTTTCTCCGGATTGGGGAGATAGGCTTCGGAGCAGTACGTTCATCTCCGACCTATTGGAGGCGGAACCTGCTGGTCGCTCATACATTTTGATAGGTCGTTGCTGGTATTATAGGGTCTTATCTGCATGACTTTGACGGCACCGATGTCTGGCCACAGGCACGTTGGATCTATACCGAAGTTGTGGCGGGCGTCTCCATTCTTCTGGCTCTGCTGTGGCTGCTGCCTTTCTCAGGCTCGTTCTTCATGTGGCCGAGTATGTATCTAGGTCTCCCTCTCATATATGCGGCTCCAGGGCTGACGTGATATTAGCTGATCTGGTCCTGTCGTTTGCATGGTTTGCTGCGTTTGGACTCCTAGTCAACGCTCTCAACGACCTGGATTGCGGCGGGGTGTTCGAATGGGGCAATATCACCGGGAGCAGTACCTGTTCTAGATGGAAGGCTTCTGAGGCGTTTAGCTTCCTCTCTGCGATTTTCTGGCTGGTCTCCACGGTCGTGGTATGTGAATTTTGGGATACGACAACCCATACACACGGCCCTCCAGAATGATAGCTGACTGCTTTTCAATAGGGTATTTGGTTCACTTTCCGCGTCCGTGATAGGCATGCGCGCCCCGTTGCTGGGGATGCTGTATAGTATGTCTCTCTATTTCAACTTGAAGTAGCCGGAGTCTAACTCTTTTGCTATAGTGGTCGTCGCCATCGTCGATGGCCTGGCCGTCACAATGTTTAAGCTGCTCAGCGTTCTGATCTTCAGAAGACATGAAGAGGCCGTCTCTCCTTTCCTTTTTATAGCTTGTGTTTCACCCGATATTCACTTATGATATGCCGGGTATGCAGAGCTTTATGAATGATGAAATTCCTCACAATTTCCCATCATTGGGCAACACTTTGATTAATAAATGCTAGTCGTCTCTCTATTTTCGAAGTGCATCTCCTTGCAATGTTAATATCAAGATCCCAACTTTCACCCGAGAATACCCTTGCTTATTTATTTCGAGTCGAGATCTTCAATGAATATGTAATTAGGCAGTGACACATATCCACGTGGTCCATTCCAGTGCTATTTTTACTCTTGATATGCTTTTCAACCATCACCTGAACAAAATTCCTGCTTCTTGTTTTGGGAGTCAACAAACAAGAGCGCTTCAATGCCACAATAGTTTCAATTTCCCAATGATCCAAAAAAAAAAAAAAAAGGAAAGTATAAACCAAGATTAAAGCCCGGGGAGCTTACCCTGCCTAGCCCCAAATATCCTCAATGTACAAGATAGTGAATTAAGTATATATGTATATCCCAATTTGTCATCACCGCGTTAATCGTTTATCTTCGCTTTGAAACGTAATTTTTGCATCCCACTTGCTCAATCCTCGTCTTACCCCCTTCAGTGATGATGAAAGCAGTGAGTTTCCCGCCCCTCACGCATCCGGTGTCGAGGCCCTTTGTAAACCTTCGGATTGCCGGCGAACGGTGAGGTGTGTGACCGTATATTACAGTTGTTAGCTGAGAGCTGGGGGGATTTTTGGAGGTGGAAACAGTGAGAGATTGTTGTTTGTTAAAGATCTAGTCGCCATTCAGCTTCATGAGGGGATAAAAAGAAAAATCTTAAGGGCTCTCACCTTTGCCCAATCCATGCCTTTTGCCCTTGGACTAGGGACATGCGTATCCACGTCCAAAGTCCGCATCGTCATCACAGCTAACGGGTCCTGATTTTCCAGCTCGACGCCGGGCACAAGGCCGCCATGTACTACGACGACTTCCCCCAAGTCGTTAATTTGTCCTACCTTGAGAATTACAGGGCATTTGTGTAACCACGCTGCGTCATCATCACTTAGCTTCTGTGCTAGAACGTGCTCTTTGTAATCTCCATACGGAAGGATCTCTTGGTCTCCTTCGGGAGGTTTAGTTTTACCGGCTTCAAACGCGCTACCTTCAGACTCAAATTTGGCGTTGGGTCTGGGATTGGGGCCTGTAAGAACGCCTGTGGTCAGGAGTTCGCGGCGATAAAGTAGGATGCGGTCTTCATTGTTCCCACGCACGCACGAGGCGTTGTATTTGCGAGCAAGTTGGACGGTTTCGACGCTCTTCGGGCCATTTGTTATAATGTTACCGGTGAAGATTAGATGGTCGGTTTGACGATTGAAGGAGGCCTTGTCGAGGAGGCTATCCACTGAAAGAAAGAAACGGAATTAGAAAATTGAACCGTTGCAAGATTCTTATTCAGATCAAATCTGCTATTATAGTGAGAGAAAGTTCGCATACACTCATCTTTACACCCGTGTACATCGCCCACAAAAATCAACCTTCTCTGCTCCGTCAGTACTCCGCCGTTCCCACCCTGTCTCGCCGACGGTAATAGCCTCTCGTCCAAAGCCTCCAAGTGCACCAAATCTGTGAATTTCGGCAATGAATTCGACCCGAACCATCCGCCTACCCGCTGTCTGTTGTTCACGTCCAGCGCCCTGAGTACCTCCTTGTGCTCCTTTAGCCTGGGCGAAGCAATCCCAACCCAGCCAAGTCCACAGATACAACAAAGCACCAGGTAAACGATGAGGTAGCGCCGGAAGCGCGGGGCTGTGATGAGGGCAAGAATCAAGTTGGAACCGCTCATGGATGGTTTGTTGTGGTCTAAGGGTTTGTTGAACCAGACATTGCTGGCTAGATTGAGGAGTGGCTGCCTGGACTGGTTGACAGGGCGAACCATGCGAGCGTCAGTTGGAGCGTGCGATGGCATTCTCTGGGGAAGGATGTGGCTGCGGGAATATCGTGAGCTCGCTGACGATAGAGTCTGGATTCTCGACGCCATGACCCATGGGTGGATGAAGAGTTTATCAGCTAGTGAATGTAATAGTTACTGAACTGGTTAGTGGTTATTTATGGCAAGCCAGGCGCCCAAAACCATTCGACAGCCCTAATAACTGTCAAATGCCTGGATAATAATCCGACTGGTCAATGGGATTGTTAGTGAAAACGAAACTCTGGTTGAAGCTTGCAGTGTTGCTAAAAAACAATATTTCAAACAATACAAAACATGCCTTGATGAGTATTTGGCTGATTCATTGATCCGAATCGAGTTGACAATAATTTATGGTGCGGCTGGAGCTCAGCTAGTTGGTTACGCCTGAGCACAGCCTACCGGCCTGCGTCGAGCCAGCAAAAGCATTCACCAACTAACTACGGAGTAATCATGAGCTTTGATTTGTAGCCCGGAGGAGGAGAGGGTTACTCCGTATATGGACGAGTTGTCACTCCGGTATTGACATAATCAAGGACACCAGAACTTTAGCTCGATAGACCGGGTTGAACATCGATTATCACCATGGGAAACGTGTACACTTTGGATGTTTGACATTTGCGTCTTGACTATCTATACCTCTCAAATTCTTCCTCTTCACGCATCCTTTGTTGCACCTTAATCAACACACTCTCGTCATAGAGTTCTGCTGGCTTTTTCCCGCCTTTGAGCACCTCTCGCTCATGTCGCTGCGCTTCGTCCTTGGTCATACACACTAGGTCACGGAGACGCATCTTTACTCCCTTTTGGCCATGTTGATCCCACTTGGGATCAGCACCAAAGCCTTCTCCTGGCCTTTCCCATCGCACTAGGGCCAGCCGGGTAGTAAGGCCACTGACCACGCTTTTCCCTCTCCAAACCTCTTCGAGAAGATAGCCAACATCGTCTTTGGTAATCGGTATTCTCAACCCCACTGGGTCTTTATTGTCATGCTTCGCTAGTCTCTCTTCCATTCCTTGAAGTGCTCCAAGGACGGAATCATATAGCTTCTCTCTGCCTTTGATGCCGGAGTTGTAATCGTTCGGGTAGCCAGCAATATCGCAGATGACATGGTTGGCCAACGTGTATCCGAAAACTGCCGGCATCGTACCCAGAACTGGGAGTATGCGCACACGAAAATCAGGTAAAACGCTTAGCTCGCCCACTTCGCCCTTTGCAAATTCTTCCTCGGGCAAAGGTAATAATGCCGCTTTGCCTGGGCCCGGCTTTTCAGTAGAATAGACCACTGGCACACCGCTGGTAACTCCCAGAGCTTTTAACCTGCGACGGGTGCTGCGTGATAAAGGGTCTTCAAGACTGGTGGATATGTCACCAACCAGAATTCGCGTTGGGTCGGATTTACATCCGGCACCCATAGAGGATATAACGGGGATGCCTTGAGAATGGCAATAGCGTAGCAGGTCGACTTTTGACGAGATATTGTCAATGCAATCCAACACAAAATGAGGCTTAGACGTGTTATCGTCCCCAGGCATTGACCAAGGACCCAAGAGTTGGTCGGCGGCAGATGCAGCGAAGAGAGTATTTTGCGGGTCAAATCGTACCCACGGAGCGATCTGTTCCAGTCTTTTCTGTAAACAGCGAACCTTTGGCATCCCCACATCCGCCAGAGTCGCAACGGCATGTCGGTTCAATGAAGACAATGTTACTTGATCGAAGTCGATAAGCCTGATCCTTCCGACTCCAGACCGGGCCAGAGCCGCGGAGGCATGGGAACCAACACCACCACATCCGACGACTATTATAAAGGAGGAGCGTAACTTTTCTAGGCCCTTATCAGTTAAGAATACTCGGTTTCGGGCGAGTTGTTCGAGGATAAGTTCTATTGAAGATAACTGTTAGGACACGTAATACGATGGCCAGCAATATCTTAGCGCCATACCTTCGTCATAATATCCATCCTGCGCCCTGCGTGCGATTGCGGCTCTGTGTTCATCCTCTTTACGTTGCTGTACACTTGGAGGCGGTGCGACGCCAAATTCTGAGAGCTTCACTTTCGTCGGTCAGCTGGTCTGAGATATTAAAAATAGAGACAGGGAAACGAAAAATCGAGGAGAATAGGAATATCTCGCCAACCTTTAGTGCACGATTACTATCATCGAGTCCGGGTATTGATTTCTTCAGCTCCTCGACCGCCGCTTTTCGCTTAATAGCCTGATATCCAAGAATAGCACCGGCGACGGCAGTTCCTGAGAGTAACGCCGCTCCTGCCAGTTGCGCATATTGCGAGTTGGTTTGCCGCTGAATCCAAGAAGACATTGTTAAGAGTAGATTCGATTTCCAGTCAGTTTGAAAGTTGTTGTCGTCAGTATCATTAGCGAACCCCGGATCAAAAAGTGTGTGTCCGCAGATTCGGTTCCTGTCATTGGAGCGCCGAGGCCTACCAAAAGGGGGCTCCATTCCGGAGAACAGTTCCTTGTTTAGCCATTTTGAGAGTGACTTGCAAGTTCCCCGACCTTTATAAATGTGTTTGCCAAAAAAATACCCAGCCAATTGAGCTGAGATCTGTTGCTGTGCTGGACAGCTTCACTGCGGCGATGAGATAATGCCGCTCGCCCTACGCAACCTTTCCTGTTCTGGAATAGCGCTCACCACTGGGCGTCGATGCATTCTTTCTCGCCGCTCGCTGCGTACTCGCGGTTGGGTGTTGATGCGTGTTTGACAGCCCAAGAGGTAAGTGATGAACAGCTTATCATTCTTGATGCCAGCTTTCCACCACTAACTGACACCTTTAGTAGTTAACTGGGAACAACCTTTCAATGACACGCGTCTCAATGATGATAACACTCACTGAGCTTCCATGAGCTGCCCTGAGGGTCGAGTTCATCCCCGGCCATCGAGCGCCAGGCGGAGGAACCGGCCCAGACACAAATTTACGAGGGCATCGGTGATTGGCAAATGAACAGAGATCTTAGAGACGTGTCTCCTATCCCTTCATTCTTGCTCTTTAGCCCGCGCTCAGGCAGCGGTCTTTACATCACTGTATGGATATATGCATGTAGTATGTACATACAATTTATGAGCATACGTGAATGCTGGCACGGAAGTTTTCGCCAACTTTTGTACTCAAACTGTTTACATTGTGCACGGGGCCTGAGAATTTATACATCGCCATTGATCGACTAGGACCACTCACTACTCTGATTCTCTGGTGAGTACCTTGAAGAGACTCTTTGCTGCTTTCTGATCCCACCCCTTGATCCAATGATGACTACACAAATAATACCGAGGAATGGGTATATATAACTGCCCTATGCTCCGCATGTATCCTGCAAAAGGGAACGGCGTTGTAGCATACCACTGACGAAAGATTCGATTGTAGTTTTCAATCTGATGTTTTGATTTTCGATCCTTTCAAACCCCCAATCGTTCCTCTTTTTAAATGATATCTGGCTAATGGCATGCATAAATGAAATAGTACATTATTTAGAACCGTGCTGGATTTACCCTCTTGTCTATGATGAAAGAATATTTGCTTACAACAAAGTCGTCCGGGAGTTCTGTGGCATAGGCTCCATAACCATTTAATTGGAGCTGACAACAAGAACATTTAATAGGTGTCCTTTATCTCACAACACTGCATATTCTTCCTCCTGCTGCTGTTGCTGCTGCTTTTCTTCTTTTTTCAGTATCTTCTTTACTTTAGAAATTACAGCTTCCCCAACTTAGACATACACCCACCAACCCCTCGCCCGGTGATGACCCCTGTGTCTAAAGCCAAAGTTGCATGATATCCGGCAGTTGCATCCGAATAGGATGCCTTGATACGTCCAAGGGAGAGATAAGGTTTTCATACCCCCAACTCGGAGAGCCATATCGTCCGTATCTGGACGGTATAAATTATTCCTGTCATTCCAATGGAAGAATAAGACAAGTTGTGGGATACCTAATCTCGTGCCCTTTGAAAATTGCATGGAAATCGATGAGAACCGGAGAGAGCTAATCTGAGGGCTTCGGGTTTTGGTGTATTTCCTTTCCCCCCCCCGGGCCCCCCCACTGTTGCGTTCGGTCATTCAGCCCTGATCTTTTTTTGTCTTGTCATGCTCCTCGTGCGATGGTTATATAATGTAAAAGTCGACATTATATTCATCCTCTGCCCAACTATGAACTTAGAAAAATATGTCCAATACATATATATATTCATGAAATCGTTCCCAAAAAATGTTCAAGTTGAAAAAAAAAAGAAAAGGAAAGGAAAAGAAAGAGAGATAACAATGGTATAGAAACATCTCGCTAGCCAATGCAGAGCTAAAAAAAAAAAAAAAAAAAAGGAATAAAAGAAAAGAAAGAACTTCGCTATTTATAGGCAAGAAGGTGGAATGTGGCCAAGATATCTATTGATCACACTTCACTGCAAGAATTGTTGTATCGGACCCCCAATATTTTTCAGATCAAGCAAGAATGTGTCGTGGCCGAACAACGATACGTCCTCCCCCAACTCCACGTGCTTGACTTTCTCGCTCCCTGCCGCTCGGAGCGAATCTGCAATCTCCCGCTGCTGCCACGCCGGGAAAAGGATATCGCTTGCCACGCCCATAACTAAGATGGGATGGTCCTTCAGCGGCGTCAAACCAGCGACTAGGTCCGGAGGGGGCTGAAAAAGCTGAAAGGAAGACGAAGGGGAAGAGGCAGAGTCTGCCGAGGAAATAGACTCGTCTGCTGACGCGAGGTCGCTTAGCTCGGCGGGTTGCTCTTCGTAGGGTTTCGCGGGGAGCGTAAGACTGCATGATGGATCGTTGTGAGGCGGCCGCGAGCTTGAGGAGATTCTCTCCTCATTTTTCACCCGCCGCTGACGGGTCGCTTGCTGCTGGGAGCGGCTGAGATCAAACAGATCCATCGCCTTGGACACGTACAGAAGGCTGTTTGGATCGTAATCTAGCGAGAACTTTTCGCCAGCGTGGTCTAGGTAGGTTTCGATGAGAAAGTCTGGGCAGAGGGCGGGCTGCTTGCTTGGGTCGGCGCGTGCCCTGCCGAACCGTTTTTCCCACTCCGGTCCGCTGCGGTAGGTTACC